AATCACGATTTTGGGTAATCTGCCCCACCCCTCTTGCAGTGCCACGGCCAATTCTTGCACTGTTGTCGGTTGACGTTGACGTCGACGAACACGTCTCCCGATCATGTCCCAGATAGGGGAAAGGTCAGGACTCATGGCTGGCCAAGGCATATAGAGAATAATATGGTGACGCTGGAGGTAATCATTCACGACACGGGCGCGGTGGGCACGGGCATTATCATCTTAAAAGATGAAACGTCGACCTGCACGTTGAGCAAAGGGCAAAACTATCGGTCACGGTATTATGACCCTTCCTTGAACAATATGCAAGTCCGTTCTGCCAGTCATGGTGATTCCTCCCCACACCATAACAGACCCACGCCCGAATCTGTCATGCTGTCTGACGTTAACGTTAGCATGACACTCTAATACTTTACACGCCTCCAAACACGAGCACGCCAATCGGTGAAATCCAGAGTAAATATTGACTCATCTGAGAACATTAAACGCGCCCATTGACGATTGCCCCAATTTCTACGCTGCCTACACCACTGACGCCTGTTTGCCATGTGCTGGTGAGTTAATGGAGGCACAACACGGGATCGTCGAGCATACAAAAAGGTTGCATGTAGCCGATTTCTAATCGTTTGGGTAGGAACTCGAATTCCTGTAACTTGGTACAAGTTTACAGAAAGCTGACTGGCCGTTTGTCCTCGATTTTGCAGGAACTGTGTACGAATGTATCGACCCTGGGCTTGTGTAGTGGCTCTAGGACGACCTGAACGGGGTCTATCATCAACATTGTGTTTGTTGGTACCGGTTCCACAGTTTGCTGATCACAGACTGTGATACATTAAGCATGTTGGTTACTGCTCGCTGTGTAGAACCTATTATATGCCACTAGCATGTAGACGTTCATCATGTTGAAGACGTCTCATTGCAAATTAAACGTAACACACTAAAGCAAAGATACGCTAAACAGTAAATCTTATGCAAGAACCGATAGGAAAGCATACATGGATAGGATAAACCAGCACGGGGCAGTTTTCATCAACCCTTCCTTGAAGTGTCAAATTTGTCAATGAACCCCTCCCACGTGTATGTCGCTATTGCGTGTCGCATGTGCTGCTCAGTGGTTCTGTTGGGGCGATAAGTTCTTCATTTGTGAACATACTCTCAAAGCATGTCAAGTGTCCATGACTATTTATCATATCACAACCTGCATAGGTATTTGCATTTCAATATCCCCTACTTTTTTTGAAGAGTATATTACCGGCGTTTTTGTTTAAGTGAGGGATTAGCCAATAAAACAATGTGTTACGACGACTTCTTGGGGTGCCATGCACGGAACTGTGGGTAAACCACTAGAAACGTCAACGCAGATTGATTAATAAATGTATGACGTCATAGGGTCAAAAGCCGCTCGTACGACCCCTGACACGACCTTCGAATACAACTTGTCAGATCTTCATGTAGTGTAGGCCATCGAAATGAAATATAGATTTGTATTTTAATCGATTGCTTTTTTACGAAACATAACAGCAAGCTGGAACAAGAAATTGAATTAAAAAACACGCACTTTAGGCAACTCAACATTGTTTTAAGAACCTTGTAAAAGTAAAATGAAACTACTGAGTGTTTCAGAGATATTATTTGTACTAAACCAAAAGATGTCACTCCTAACGGTAAAGTTAATGATAAAGCAATTTAAAAAGTAAAACGAACGTAATTTCTAAAGCCGCTGTAATAACTAAAAAGCTAAATATTACTGCTATTCTACGGAGCTCCGTAGTAATTCGTTTAAACGAAATAATATTTCGTTTAAACGAAATAATTAATTCGTTTAAACGAAATACATGATATTATTTCGTTTAAACGAATTAATTATTTCGTTTAAACGAAATAATTAAAAAAAAGTATCGAAAATTGCGCTTAAGGAGCTCCGTACTATTCAGAATCGTCCACAATAGATTTTTTTTACGACTGTAATAGTTGATAGATTTGTACGGGAATTTCCCGTGCGATGGCTATTTATAGACTCATAGACTCTTGTGCTGAGTGTTATTGCACTGCCCGATTAGCCAGAAATCACTTCGAGACAAGGCACTGAAGCGTGCACATTCGCCGTGTCGAGTTCAACTTTTTGTAGGGAAAATTTTCGCTGTACGAGGCGCCCCACTCTTGGGATTGAATATGCAACAAGTAAAAATTCTTTTACGTATTTCTGAAACAAACTATGCTTCCGATAACTTCTTACCAACTGTTCGATTAATATTATTCGTATGACAAACAAGAATATATTTTGAAATATCGAAATCTTTGTAACAAGTTCTCTCAATTTCTTAGACAAACAACCATAACAGGGATTTTTTTTTTCAAACATGACAAGTTGACTAGGTTATTTTATACTATACAGTTGCAATTTAGGTGCACGGATTCACACAAAATTATTCCCTTCTATTTTGGCATTGTTTGTTTACCTCATAAATTTATTTAGTCTGAGACCGACTGCGGTTGACTTTTTTTGAACAGACTATTTTTTCCCTTGGGGGAAAACATTTCTTAGTAGAACAACATACTCAAAACAGAATAAGAGTTAAAAATATTTTTTGAAACATGACATATTGACATGTAGACATGGTTATTTTATACTATAGTTTTGTGTGACATGCAATTTAGGCTCACGGATTCACGCAAATGCATATATTAAGTATTTGAGACCGACTGCAGTAACTGCACTTATTTTGAGACCGACTATTTTTCTCCCTGGGGTAAATTTTGTTCTTAGACCAACATACTCACAACAGAATAAGAGTGAAGCACAACATGTTTTCAAACATGATAAGTTCACAGGGTTATTTATTTATACTAAAGTTTTGTGTGAGTAACGTGACGTATGTGGGCACTTATTTTGAGATCGACTGCACTTATTTTGCGACCGACTGCACTGATTTTGCGACCGATTATTTTTTTTTCACGGGAGGGGGGGGGGGGGGTTACTCCTACCCCCATCACATTTACGCACCTGTCGATGATATCAGTGGATTGGACATGCGCGTGATATAGTTAATACGTCATTGATCAATCTGTTTTACAGAGGATTACGAAAGTCTTCTAATAGGCCTATCTCTGTAAAAGATGACTACAGCAACACGTGACGTCTCATCACACGTCGTCAATCATTGGCTAAATGGCGCGTGCTTTGTTTACATAAGACCTTATAATGGTTCGGGCGGAATGGAGCCTTTTACTCATTTTAATACCCAATTACACTAAATAGGAAATAATTTTTACCTACAAATACGTCAAACGTTTTTATTTATTTTTCTAATACATAAAAAAAATGCTTTAGAATTTAATTTGTCGGAGGAAAAAAGTTATAATATTTGTGGCTAATTAAGTCGCATCGATGTCATCCTTATCAGTGATTGTCGCGGCCTAGCGAATAATCACTGCTAATCAGTGTGGTCATTGATGTCATCTCTCTCAGTGATTTTAGCGGCCTACCGAATATTCACTACTGATCTGTGTGCTATGATTTGATCTATTTGATAAGGTCAACTTCAAGTTTGGTCAAAGGTCACGAGATGTAAACAGCGCTAATCTAACCCTAATAAAACCCAGACGCTTATAGACCCAGGTTGTAGGCCTACGTCTACGTGACAAGGAGTAGGGTCGCCTGTCCAACCTCGTGGGTTTGCTCCAGGTCCTTCGGTTTCCCCCCACTGCTCAATTATTGAAATAAAAATCATGAACCATATATATATTATGTTAGTCCCGAAATGGCATAGTTTGTGTCGAGTGGACGTTAAACCCCATTTCTCCCTCTCTAACCTACAATCTCGCCAACAATCACGTGCATCTTGAAGCGACCTTGACGAAAATTCAGCTGGCCTTAACAAATAGATTTAGCCGTGTGCTATGCTTCCACTATAGAACTGTACGATCTATGCTTCCGCAAAGAACCCTGCCTGTGGAATTCGACCGGGAGAACAAGGAATATTGATTTCCGTTTTTTCAATACCGATACCGGAACCATTCTCCACACGGTACAAGTCTCGCTATCCAGCATTCGACTCTACCGTCGGCTCGCGCATTACACTGGTTGACCCAGAGGCCATTGGTCACATGATTAGCTACATGATGAAAGTGACATCTAAATCAATCAGAAAGGTTCCTGTCGTTATAAACACTTAATAGAAGTTTATGAGTTTTAGTCAGTTTTAGGAGAAAATGTCACCAATTACTATCCCTCCGACCCCCCCCCCCCCCCCACAAAAAAAGTCTAAATTTGCACGTTTTGTCGTGTGTAAATGTATTAGGCCTAGGCATTACGAAGAACCTTTAAAGCACAATACCTGCACTCTTGTTGTAACTGAATAATATGTCCCAATCTTTATTCTGGTCAACAAATTGTACTATTTTACAATATTCCAATTAATTGACGATACAAATTTCATCTTAACACACCTAATTTAAAAAATTGGAAAAATTCAACAAAATGATTTGAAAAGCCTGACGTAAACCTTTTCAAATATGACTTGGATTTAAAAATATTTTTGAACCCTCTGGACAAGTAAAATAGGATTTAATGGATAATTTACACAACAGCATATCTAGTACTTAGAATAAGGCTATTTTATTTTATTTTCTGGAGCTGTCAAGCCAGCAAGAGTGTTATTGTCCCTTTAATGAACGTCGTTAAAGCTTCTTGGGCCTTACGATCGCGTTATAAAGGTAAACATATCCACGTGTATATATTCTAAAATAAGCACGATGACAAACGCAGTTTGTGTTTACGACCCGTAATATTTCGCGAAAGAGTTCCCTGTATATTTGTAAATATCTTATTATATTATGATAGGTATGACCCCCATTTCTATTTTATTATAGTAATAGAAATAAATATATTATCATTTATTTAGTTTCTATTGTATTGTTTATCATTGTTTATCGATACCAAGAATCTTGGTGGCGTTGTCAAATGAGCCGTTAGCAGAGCGTTAGTCTGAACCGCAAGGGAAGACAACCCGTTTGGGAGATTGTACCGGAACATTAACTTCTAGTGTGAGCTCTGCTACTTTGGCGGCCAATTTGAATTTGGGTCACTCATTGGGTTATGAATTAGCAAGAGTCTACGAAATTAAACAGTAGGAGCAGCTAATGCAAGTAATAATACAGATACAGTATATTTTGTAAAACCCAAAGGACCAGAAAGAATATTTAATAAAGTAGTGTTTGTTGGTGATTCTGGTGTGGACAAAATTCACAAAAGTAGTTTTAGGACAAGCCTATATTCTGTACGGTAATGACACATTTAAAAGATTAGGAACATTTGCAGCTAATTGAGAATAAAAATGGATGCCAATGCAATTAAAATGGTACAAACAATGGCTAGTGATTCTAGGAAACGTTTACTAATAATAAAGGATAATACATGTATGAGTGGACTAGTATCATTGTTATCTAATACTGATGAAGACATCATTTCTGTTGTCTTGGAGACATTGATGATGCTAGGTAAATCAGCAGAAGAAATTAAATGGTTAGGATATACTCCAGGTCTAATCAAATCACTGAAGACTATTATGAAAAGAGAAAAAGAGAAGAACAGTGTGAGAGTTAAAGCAGAAGAATTCTATAATATATTATGTAATGGTCGTAAAGACACCAGAACTCCACTAAGAGATTCCAACAGGAAATATAATGACAAAGATGATAAGAATTCTTTGAAATCTAAAAATTCACCTGGATATCATGCAAAAGCAATTGTACTATTGATTAAAGGGATAACAAATAAGTGTGATGCTGATTTATGTATAAAATTACTAATTGAAGTGAAAGGAGTTATTAGTATAACGTTTGATATGGAGAGTAAAAGATGTATTGTGAGAACAAAATCTAGTGTTAAACCAGAGACATTGGTAAAAGTTATATCAAACTCCCAGACATTTATTGCTCAACAAGTGATAAAACATGAAAATGGTAACGAGACATTACAATCCTTTGGTATGGAGGTACTACCTAGTGCGGAAAAAGAAAACTTAAGTGAACCGGAATATTTACCTGACGATATTGATAGTCCAGTTGCTTCCAGTAAGGCAGTAGCTAGGGGAGGTTACCCTAAACAAGAACATAGCTGGCTTAGTGCAGCAGCTTCATTTTTATCCAATTCTTTTTATTGGTAAAATTGGAAAGAGCTATTGATCTGTGTTTAGGTCTTCATGTTTGAAGATACTTGCATCTTTATCTTTTGTATGGTAAATATTATATAGTGTTTATAATTTAGGTTTGTCATCCAACTGCTATAAATTGTATGAAGGATTATTTTATTACAAATATTTAATGCAAACTTTTTGGAAAATATAATTTTGCATGGCTTAATCCATGCAAAAATGAATGAATGAATATAATGGGGTTTAACATCCTAATTTTTTGCACCAACCAGGATAATGAAGACGCACATATGCCATGCAGTGTCCTATGAGTTCAATTTTGCCTGAACAGCAATTTAATTCCAAATATCAAGGGTCCTTTTACGTCCACGCCTAACAGTACATATATGGGACCTCGTCACCTCAGTTTGTCATCCCATTCGAACGACTAGATGATGTTCCCTGTCAGGCCCTCAGTTGTGCACTAGTGACAAGGGGAAACCACACTGGAAAATCATGGGGAACTTTCTTGGCCAACATCGAACTCGAACCCTGGACATCCTGGTTCCTTACTTAGTGAGTCACCGTGGCCCCCAAAATGTTTATTTAACATTTTATTATGAAGAAAGCAAATTCTGTTGGGCACAACATCTCCTCATTGGAGATGTGTTTGGCCATTTCATGATTGTTTTGTTAAGCCCTACTCTCATTCAGTATTATTATTTTCCATTATGCTTTGCATATATTTTTCATTAATTTTGGAATTTCATTTACAACATCGTTTCATTCTAATTTGGTTATTAAATAAATGACTGTCATTTCATCCAAAAAAAAAAAAAAAAAAATGGTAATTGGTAATACAGATTTCTATATAGATTTAGTTGTAAAGTGTGTTGCTGGTATTAGATGCCCTGATCCAATAACTCCAACATTATTTCATTAATCCAATTCTATGATGTTCCTGTTGCACTGTTCCATTGCAACATCAACCAAATATCTTTTTATAAATCCTTACTTTGTTTGTACAATAGATGTTAAACCCCATTTCATTTCATTTGTTTGTACAAATGTTTATTTTTATTTCCTCTTCCATTTCATAAGAGTGTGTATATCTTAAAACAAAAGACATAAGATTATTATGGATAGAATGTTTATTAATATATTAAATTTCAAATATGGATAATTTGTATTACATTTAAAGCCTGAACATGCCAGAATAAAATTTAGTAATTTTACCCAAGACATTCTGGTACAGAGTTGATTTATTTTAAGTGCTGAGTATACCAAAGCCATGATCCCCCAGTTCTTAAAGTAAAATATAACACATTTGTATACCGCCACATTTTCATGTGGATGTATATTGTTGTCGCCCCTGTCCGTCCATCCACAATTTGTTTGTGGACACTCTACGTCACAATTCTTAGATGAATTTGACGGAACTTGAAATATAGGTTTATCCCCCCCAAATTTTTTTTTTTCTTTTGATATTGGCAATTATCGGATCAACTTCATTGATCATGGCCCCCGATTGTACGAAAAATCACATTTTTAGCTTGTGTACACTCTAGAGGTCACAATTTTCATCTGATTTTGAATTGATGAAACTTGGAATGCATACGTTTGTAACCCAAAGATCTTGGTTACTTTCAATATTTGCAAATATAGGATTGTAACTTCCTGAATTATGGTCCCTGATTGTAGAAAAATCGTGTTTTTAGCTTGTGGTCCCACTAGAGGTCACAATTTTGATCCGATTTAGAAAAACATTTCAATATATCACCGTTACACTGCGATAACTCAGGCAGTAATTATTGGAAATTGTTGAAAATCAATAGGTTTCTTCGTCTGATGACCATAAACACTGTGTATAAATTTAATGTCAATCGGATATTAACTTTGGTCTCCAGAGCGTCCACAAGATTTTTCAAAGTGATCAAGGGCCATAACTCTGACAGTAATCGGAAATTGTTGAAAATCCATAGGCTTCTTTCTTTGTCTCATGACCTTAAATAATGTGTATAAATTTAAAGTCAGTCGAATATTAACTAGCCTCTAGAGCATCCACAAGCAATTGTGGACGCCGGACCGACAGACGGTTGCTATGACAATATTTATACAACCACATTTCAATGTGGGCGTATAACAAAACATTTAAATATACCATCGTTACACCCTGATGATGGTCGAGTTCAAAATTCATAAAGATAGGTTGCAAGGCAATGAAACATACGCCCACAGCAGCTGTAAATCTTTTGAGCAGTCGACAAGGGTTGTCGCATATTTATTCCTTTGTAGGTAATTGGGGGCCTTTACAAGACAGTTCCATACAGATCAGTTTATAACTTTTGTCGTTTGAGGGTTCACAAGGTTCTACAAACTGAAACAATGGCCTCCCCTCTGGAAGTAGTCTACAAAAATTGTTGAAATTTGACAGGATTTTTCATTTTACTAATTTAAATAATGCATATAAATTTCATACAGATCGGATGATCACTTGTCATTTGATCGTTCACATGGTTCACAAAGTAAAACAAGGGCCATGGCTCTAGAAAGTATTAACGGAAATTGCTGAAATTCAATAGACCTCCGTTTCACAAATTTAAATGATGCATATAAATTTCATACATATCGGATGATAACAAAGTGAAACAAGGGCCATAACTCTAGAAGTAATTATTGTAAATTGCTAAAATTCAATGGGCTTCATGGTTTCACTAATTTAAATAATACATATAAATTTCACAAAGATCGGATGATAACTTTAAGCGTTAGTTCACAAGGTTCAATAAAGTGAAACAAGGGCCATCGTCTAGACGTAATGAACGGAAATTGCTGAAATGCATATTAATTTCAGAAAGATCGGATGCTAACTTTTGGCATAAGAGCGTTCCATGTGGGCGTATAAAAATCGGACAGAAACTGTCCAACAAAATGGCCTCTCCTTGAATGAAGCAAATAGTGTAAAAGTATGTAATACCAAGGTTGTGGAACCTCTAGAGGTCACAATTTTTGTCCGATTTTGATGAAACTTAAAATATATGTTTATATCTTAACGATCTCAGTTTCTTTCAATATTCGATCATTTCAGACCATTATTTACTGGAATATGGCCCCTGATTGTACGAAAAATCACGTTTGTTTTTTTTTAGCTTGTTTTTTCTATCCATCTCTTGCACAATGTGGGTGTATCTTGCCTGGCAACTGCTTGTTTATATTTATGGTCAGGCATATTCCAGATATCAAGTGTTCTTTTAGGTATGATGCACAGGTTGATCTGAGTTTTTCGTCCTATCCAAACATTTTATTTGTCAGCCCTGCGGGTGCTACTGCTAACAAGTGGGAAATAAATAGGCCAGAAAAATTCTGACCACAGGATATTCTAGTTAAAGAGTCCAATTCCTTAATTGCTCGATGTTGCGACCCCAAAATATACTATTCAAAAAAAGTAGGGGATATTTGATTTTGGGGGCATAATACTAAAATATGCAAATGACTACGAAAAAAGTCACTATAGAACCTAACAGAAGAAACATTTCCAGTTACATGTGACGCCCAAACGCACCAATAGCTACCGCATGGAATGCAGGTGATGCTTGGGATCATCATGGGGGTCCAACCCAAGATTTGCACGACTCTGACTTTGAATGTTACAGTCATTGTGGCATTGAATTCCAGGGTGGAAACATCAGTTTAATTGTTTTAGTGACCAGAAAACAAATTTTGATATGCGTCGGCTTACCCAAAATGAAAGGTTACGTGCCCTTGGCATGCTACAGATCGGCACAACACAGGCGGTTGTGGCGCGGACGATGAATGTTTCTCAGTCTGTCATAAGCAGGCTATAGTCCAGATACCGTGATACACAATCTGTACAGGACAGACCACGCTCAGGTCGACCAAGGGCGACAACTCAAGCCCAGGATCGATTTATCCGTACCTTGGCCTTGAGAAATCGTGTCATCACAGCAAATCAGATCAGCGCTCGTCTTCAAACAGACACTGGTGTGAGAGTGAGTGGCCAGACGATTCGGAATTGACTGCATAGGGGTCACCTTCGCGCCCGACGTCCTCGCGTGATCCCTTGTTTGAGAGGTCATCACATTCAGGCAAGACGTCGTTGGTGTAGGGATCGTCAACACTGGGATAATCGACGCTGGAGCAATGTGATGTTGCTCAAGGTTCACTGTTGATTTTTTGGACAGACGTAGGAGGGTGTGGCGTCGTCGAAACGAGCGCTTCCAAGACGTTAACGTCATCAGACATGATCGATTTGGGGGTGGTTCTGTTATGGTGTGGGGAGGCATCACTGTTGCTGGAAGAACGGCTTTACATGTTGTTGCAGGGCGTGTTACAGGCCAGTACTACCGGGACAACATCTTGGCAGTCCATGTTGTGCCGTTCGCACGACGTCATGGCCGCCGTTTCATCTTCCAGGATGACAACGCAAGATGTCGCAGGGCCAGGATCGTTACAGGTTACCTCCAACAACAGAACATCACCACATTACCTTGGCCAGCACTGAGTCCCGACCTCTCCCCCATCGAGCATGTCTGGGACATGCTTGGACAGAGGTTACGTCAACGTCAACTACGTCCTGCCAATGTCCAAGAACTTGCTGCTGCGTTGCAACAGGAATGGGACAATCTGGACCAAAATGACCTTAGACGTCTCATTAGGAGTATGCCACGTCGGATCAATGCTTGTTTGACAAACAGAGGAGGATTTACCCGTTACTGACTTGGTTGTGATGCTGTGGTAACTTTGCTGTTTGACCCCGGGTATCATTTTACCCTTATAATGGTCAGTCTGTGCCTTACTTAGTCTAACGATCATTTGGAATAAATCGATGAATGTGAACTTCATTTCATTTTGTCATTTGTTTCTTCGTCAGTTTCATTAGGTGACTTTAATAACACTTAAAAATCAAATATCCCCTACTTTTTTTTAATAGTATATTTGCATCTACTGGTATCTGTCATGTTAGTGCTTAATGGAACATGGATTTACATTTCCCAAAGTTTAAATCATAGTCCATATTACAATAGATATTGTGTTTAGTTTTCTTTTTAGGTATATGACAAAAAAAATTTGTATGTTAATATAAGGGGAATTAAAGAAAACAGTACACACAAAAAGGCAAGCAATTAAGGCAATATACATTTTACAGTTATGTTATTGCTAAAGATATACAGGGTACATATATGCATGACTTACTTATTGGAAGAAGGAAAAACACTGGTCTGAAAACAAATTTGAGTTATTCTAATAACAGGTGGTCTGATTTCAAATTTTCATGGACATAAATATATATACATATTATATATTCTAAAACGTAAAATTTGATATTAAAAAAAATCCTAATTCAATAACAAAATTCAATAAAAATATATTATAACCCTATTGGTCCCTGTAATGATCCTTCTTTATATTAAGTTTTCTGTTCAGTATATCCTGATGGCTAGCAACAGGTTTCTCCCTGATCAATCATATAAAAAGAAATTGAATTGTAAGGTGTTTTATGAAAATAGATTGAAATATATATATATTATTCAAAATTATTTAATTCATAGTAAAAAATAAAAACTGGCATTTGGGTAAAACTGATTTTAAAGCACCTCAAATATAAAAAAATGCTATTCTCAGAAAAAATAATTATACAATGCTAGACTAATTCTAGAAAATGTATACACAATCTAATTAAAAGATAGATCTATATTTCGTTTTGTTTTTTATACTTTCGATGGCCTACACTACATGTAGATCTAACAAGTTATAGTGGGAGTTCACGTTCTATGACGTCAGGTACCAAGCAAGCGACATTTGACCCGATTACGTCAGTCATTCGATTAACCAATTAGCGACCGCCAAGTATTTTTTATCTACTTTTGCTTTGTTTTGATTTCTATTGATGCTAATGTCTACCCACAGTTCCGCGCAAAAAAAGGTCAAACGCTCAATTCGACAGACCATTTGATTGGTTGACCCCACATTTCTAGCAGAACACGAGTTAAATAACAACGCTTCCAGATCCAAGTGTAGTAAAGACAAGTAAAATCGAAATTTTGAACTATAAAAACAAAATGAAATTGGATCTGTGTTTCAATCAGATTGATGTATACAGTACGTTTATGTTAATGTACAATTTATTTTTATTTCTTTATCCTTTCCTGCTTAATGTCTCTGATTGGCATTTGAGGGATTACTAATCCCTTGCAAACTACAATATTGTGACAGTTGAATCTCTAAAATTAATATTAGTCAAAATGGTTCAATGTCATTCACTGTTTACATAGTTGAGAGATTGGTGAACTGTAAATGCGTCAACATTCAGCATCCTCTGCAGACTACATAAACGTGATATTGTCAGCACAAGTCAGCATCACCTATACTGGTAATCTTCACCAAAATCTCTTTAATCTGGTTGAATCAACACCCTGAGATTATTTAACATTTCATATTTTGATTTTATTTTAGTAATTTAATTTTAAATAATTAATTTCAGTATATTTGAGCATGGTTTAAGCTGATTTGAGTACATTTTGATAAATTAGATTTTGTGTGAAAAATAATAATCAGTGGCTTTAAGTCAAATAGTAGGCCTACTTTTTAAAAGCACAAATGTAATATTGTTTTAAAATCATTGAAATATTGATACATAATTTAATTATTTCACCTTATATACTATCAAAAAAACATCCTGTTTAACAGTTCCACTCAATTAAGGCATGAAATTTGGAAACATAGCTCTTCAGATATAATTTCAACAATTATTGCATGTATAGTACGAAATTTACAATACATGAGTAAAATATATATATTTACATAAAAGTTAGTATGTACAAAATACTGTTAAGATCACATTCATAGTAATATAATTAACAAATAAAATATTAACAATTAATAAGAGAATAACAACAAAGTTTTAATTGCTATTATTAACCAAAACATTAATAATAAGCTTGAGCACTCAAGCAAATATATTAATTAATTAATTAATAGACATTAACCTGTTAAAGATGCATTATATTGGAAATTTCAGTCAATTTACTTTATTTTATTCTGAGCGAAGCTGTGAATGTTTGAAGTTTTGACAAGGATAGTGTAGAATGCTACGATAATAAACAAAGTCATGATTATTCATCTTATTGTTCAATTATTAAATAGCAAAGATATTCTAATCCATTAAAAATACAAGCCATCCAATGGCCTAGAGAATTGATTATGGGCTTATTGTGTGAATAAATGTCTAAATAATACTTTATATAACATTTGAAGCTAGATAAAAGACATGCAATAAGATTTGGCTCTTGCATAATGCATGTTTAGTTAATGGAAATGAGCCTGTCAAATAAATATCTGACCATAAATTACATCTTAGCAAAGTTGTTTAAAACTTAAAAGGAGCATTAATGGAGGGATATAATTGTATTTTGATATTGAACAATTCTTGATACATCTAACTATTTTTGTTCATCTAGACGGAGAGATTTAACACCTTCCTTGATAGCAATATCATCAACTACTGTCTCTTTATCGACCGATTCTCTCTGTGATTTATCTTCAGTATGATAAGTACCAGCATATGATTCATTAGAAATACTTCTAGACAATTCATTTAATACATCTTCTTTACTTTTAAATGTAGATGGTGATCCTTTCGATTCTTCAGTCTTTGGTTCCTTAGTTCCTGGCACTGAATGTCCTTGTTCAGAAATTGATGCAAGGTTAATATTTTGAACTGTGGTGCTTCTTGAAACTGGGGCACTCTGTGATTGTGATTTGGGATCCTGTAAAAGATGCTTGCTGCTGCTAGGTGTGACAGGAGCACTCTGTGTTTTTTTAGGCATACTTATTTCATCTCTTGTTCGAACACCAACAGCTTTCATAATAGTTGTCAGCTGATTCTGATAGTCCATGTGCCCACTCACCTAAAATTGGGGAAAATATTTATTATTTGTAAATCAATTTTCCTATTAGCATTTCTGTTGGATTTAACTTTAATTTCATTACATAGTCTCCAAAATAATGACATACATACATTGTAGTCTCCAAAAATATGAATTTACGTGTGAGAGAGAGAGAGATAAAGAGATGGCATATTATGTCCACTCAACAAACTAATTCATTTTGGGAATAACATGGTATAATTTTATTTCAATAATTTGCTTGCGCATAGAGGTCTTTAGCAGTGGAGAAAAACTGGAGGACCCGGAAAAAAGCCATGGGTTTAGGCAGGCAACCATACGCCTTTCAACACACAAGTGTGGGATCGAAACCATGCCACTTGACTCAATAATGGATCTTAGGGTCTAAAGTGAAAAGTTAGTTCGCAAGGCCACCCAACCTTCTTATTGTATATTGTTATAACAATTTCTTACCACATCACTGAGATCTATATTGTGCATTCTACGATTCTCCCACTTCACTGGACGAAGTCCAGCTATACGAAGCTGTACTGATGAAGTTCTGTATAGAAACTTGAGCAGCCAATCTCCCCTTATAAATATAAAACATTAATATTATTTATAAACTATAACATAAAGAGTATGGGCATTATACAAGTCCTTCCATCCAGCTGTCAAGATTTTGTATCAGATCAAAAAAAATAATTTGCTTTCATAATAATTCACAAACAGGGTTACACTTATAGCAATAATTATCTGTTCTTAAAAAAAAAACTTCTGTCAAGGATTTTATGGTTTATAAAACAAGTTTATCTAACCATCTAGAACAATCCTATGGTTTCCAATGAGGTTTATCAAGTTGCAGTCATAAACCGCTGATTTCTGCCTCAATGAACAGCCAATAAAAAGGGAGAGAAAAGAGAACATCAGCAATAACTGGATGCCATATGGTGCTAGAACTATGGGGTAAAAATTGACGAGTTTCCAAAAATTTTCAAGTAAGAAAAATGCTATACATCAGAATATTATTGTTGTAATAGAATAATAATTTTTAAGTGGTCAAACTCTCCCTTTAGGTTTAAAGCTATAAACGCCCCAACTGTAATTTTACAGAATTGAAAGCTGACGACAGAAAATAGGATGATTATAATATATTCAAAACAATAAAGATGTGGTTACCTGCAATATCCATTAACAATTTTACCAGCTACGACTTTTGTCAAGACCTGCCAGTATTTAGGATCACCAGATACTGGTGCACCCAGTAATATAACATCTTCTACAATACCCTCACTACCCTTTCTTTTAGCCAATTCTTCTAAACAAGAGAAGATAACTCTAGCACCCAGACTATAACCAATCAAAGTTACCGGCCTTTTACCCTAGAAAATAATTTAAAATTGAAATGTTAATAGCTACCTTTTTATAAGTCCACACTGAAATGTGGTCGTATATTTTCGTCGCCCCCGTCCGTCTGTCCTATTGATTTTCAGCGATTACGGATAATTAGTCAGAGTTATGGCCCTTGATCACTTCAAAATATCTTGTGGACGCTCTTGAGGCTAAAGCGCATATGCGATTAAATTTATACGCAGTGTTTGAGGTCATGAGACGAAGAATCCTATTGATTTTCTACGATTTCCGATAATTACTGCCAAAGTTATGGCCCTTGATTACTTTGAAAAATCTTGTGACGCTCCAGAGGCTCAAGTTATCATCCGATTGACTTCAGATTGATACGCAGAGTTTAAGGTCTTGAGACCAACAAGTATATTTGATTTTCAATGAATTTTGAAAACTTGAACAGCTAAATCCATGATATTAAATGTTTCGTATACTAAACGTTAGCATGGGGCAGAACTTTATAAAAAAACATACAAATTCTAATGATTTTCTGATAATTACTTAATGAGTTGTTACTCTTAATCAGATTTTAGTGTATTATTACTATTATAAATGTTTCATTACTGAAAAAAGTAAAAACATGCGTCAAATCTTGTTGACTGCCCAGGCGATTTAGCTGCTGTGGGCGTATGTTTCGTTGTCTGGCAACCTATCTTTTCTCTAGTGAAGCTTAAAGTTACCTTCCCAAGTACAAGCTGGCTGGGTGATTTGATGATATATTTGGACTTAAAACATATTCAAACTAATCTATCAAATTTTGCTTCAAATCCTTCCCGAAACATTGTATTCAAGAGTGAATACCCCTACTATAAAAAATCCAATAAAAGAAGTCATGTTTGTGTCACGTGACTTGGCTGACACAGTACCTAGCAACGGGTGCAAAGCCAGAGAAGAATTCATTGCATATACAAGACGATGTTGTCTTTAATCGCTGTCCATTTATCATAAATATTGAACCTAATTAAATTCTCGGATTATCCACTGCCTACGTCTTTTTCCGTGGTTTTTATCTCAGAAACTATTGTACGATTAAGCTCACTACCAAGTTTATCAACATATACATCAAGCACTCAATAACACTGAAAAATCAGACAATCTGTGCGTGCAACCTGTCACTTGAGCAGACATCCCTAAGCGTCGGGTTGCCAGTTAGGGAAACCCTTACATTTTTGTCCTGTATGCGCTCCATGGGTGTTTTTCAGGGAATCCAGTTTATTTCTAGTAAGATTGGATGTTTCTACTTTCCATTTATACCAAAATTGCCATACTTTTATTGGAAATAACCACCAGATAAATATTTTTGTGGGAAAGTAACTTAAAACATTGGTTGTGAGACAATGGAGCATACAATCATCAGTAACTTTATTGCTCTGGGCTGAAATGCTAAACTATCACATTAACTAATTGTATATATTAATAATTTTTAAATGGCATTTAGTAACTAGATATATTAAAGTATTCTCTCAATGTTTTTTGTTGTTTTTGCATTTATTAAATGAAATGAAATAAGATTTTAATATCCTACTTGTCTGCACTGACTGGGCTAATGAAGACTGAGATAATGGAGACGGGCATATGTCCTTCAGTGTGCTATAATGGGAATTTTGCCCAGACAGTGGTGCTACAGCCTACACTTATGTGCATGTCAATGTGTACACAGGTCCTTGGTTGTTTTTTTTGTATAGTCCAAATGACTAGACACTGTTCCTTGATAGGTCTTCCAGTATTTTCAAAGAAATTTAAGCATTTTGGAAAAGGGGGCTCTTCCTCCTCAACCAAAATTGTAGAAGATGAAGCCATTTTGGAGTCTTCTCCAAGATGTGAAATGACTCATTAATTGACTAGTTTTAATAGGGAAAAAAACTGTCACATGAATTTAAATGATAATAAGCTGTAGTACCTGTTCCCTTGACAACAAAACTTCTGCTAATTGTTTACCAGCAGCATTAGATCTGTTTAAACAAACACTCCATGGATTGTCTATAACATTAGCAGCTGATACAAGAGCTGCTGGCCATGCTATAGCTGCTAATATACCTACAATAAAATTTTATGTTATAATTTTATTTCAATAACTAGGTTACCCAATAACCCAGGGAAAACACACAAGGTGGTCACATACAAGCTTGGTATCAAAACCATGCCACTTGACTCAGTCACATAACTTATGATTTAAAGTGCACACATAAGACCATTTGACCACCCAACCTCCCAAATTCAATGACATCATGTATCAAAATCTACATGACATAGCAGAACAACTTAATTTATATTTCATTGTCATTAATAGCAATAACAGAGTCCAACATACCTGAAAGAACAGTAAATTTTAAGGCTTCTTGTGCTGCCATAGAAACAGCTATACTCGTTATATATTCAAAAGATTTTCCTAGCTCCAACAAATATTTTGATTCCCATTTTAAACTGTATTGTTCCCTTGATTCTGCTAGTGATGGCCAAGGTTGTCGAAAATCTGAAAATGAAAAGAATCATGGAATTTTAACACCTGAAGAACTATGCTGGTAATTAAGAAACACTCGACCTGTTTCAATCAATGATCACCGGTTTGTTGTTTTTCTTGGAAATGAAATAAACAGACCAAATTTTGGCAAAAATCTCAGTCTACACATCTAGTTTATCAGCATTTTATCACCCAATAATACATTCTACAGTAGATATCGCTTATGTGATATATTTCATAATCTACTGCGATATCTCCTTAGGAGATATATAGATATCGCTTTACATGAATTTGATTGGTCAGTTGAAAAGGAACTACTTTTTTTTTATTTTCAAAGAACAGTTCATTTCTTATTAAAAGTAAATTTTTTTTTATTAAAAATGAACTATTGTTATTCAATTGACCTTGATGGAAACACTGGGTCAATATAAAGGACTTTGCAATGGTTGAATTGCTGTCAAAAAATGATGTATCACTACGCCGTAATGTTCAGTAAAAGTGAAATCTACAGCAAAGAATTATATTTATCTATTTGTGTATGTAAGAAGGGATTGGGTGATAAATAAAATCTCCTACTCATCTTTTTTGATATCAAAAAATATCAACACTCGTTGATAAAGTAAAAAAAACTCGGCAGAGCCTTGTTTTTTGTTACTTTATCAACTTGTGTTGATATTTTTTGATATCAAAAAAGACTGGCAGGAGATTCTCTATTTATTCAAGCTTTAGATCAGTGGAAAATGGTTTTTGAATTGTTTGAACTCTATCTTGATTATAAGTTTTTAAAAAATCCATCATAAAACTTTGTCCTGTATAATGTTTACAAGTTTTAAAAAGTTAATAATGACCAAAAAGATAATTATGTAAAACGATTTTTTAAATTTAAGATCATTTAATTATGAAATTTGATAGGGTCTCACTAGTTTTATTAAATTTTCATCTAGACCTCTAGAACTATAATGACTTCAGAAGATTTCGTAAGCCTGAATGTAAATAAGGGGGATCACGTGGCTAAGTGGATTAGACGAAAAACCGAGGTCCCTTGTATACATTGGAATGCACGTCAAAGATCCCTTGGCAGTTGGAATTCGATATAAGAGTAGGCGATAGTGCCGCTGCCCAGGCAAAATTTCCCTCATAGCACACTGTATGGCGTATGCTCGTCTTCATTAGCCCAGTATATGAGCAGAACAGTAGGACGTTAAACCTCATTTCATTTCATTTCTGAATGTAAATAGGGAAATTACTCTGATATTTGTGATTGCAAAGGTTTGAATTTCAATAGGATTTTTCTATATGACCACAAAGCAGCAGCCCTGCAAATTTATAAAGTCCAACAGGAACCCTACCTTGTGGAATGGGCAAAAAAAATTGTGGTTGATATGATAGGTAAATAAAAAGGTAGTGCTCTGATCTGCTGTAAAAAGTCAAAATATGGGTATTTTCTTGAAATGTGTTTTTACTCAAGTTACCTTGAACTTTTGATGTGAGCCAACCAGTAACGGCTATAGTTATATGAAGTTGTTTAGATACACCGGTTGTTTGTAAAGCGTGACCACATATTAATGGTTCAAACATGAATTCTTCTATAGCACCAACTCGTCTTTTCATCTTATGACCTGCAAATAACAAATAACATTGGGAATCATTGACAATCAATAGGATTTTCCTCCTATATAGTTCAGTTCAGCCTCTAAGAGTTTTCATATAATTCTTCAATATCATCAAAGGCAGTAACTTTAAAAAGCAGTTATAAAAAAGCTTAGAACATAAGACTGATAAATTGGTAGACAGGGGCTTATGACAATGTCTCTATCGGTGTATAAAAGAACGATTCTATGTCCAATTGAGTGAACTGATAAAGTACATACAGACATGAAGTAGTCTATCCTTAAATCTTACTGAAATTGGCAAAACCTCTGCTACTTAATGGCTTAAAAGTTCTGCCAACATGATGGTCGAAAATATATTCCAAGTATGTGGAGAATACTGGAATTTATCAAGGATTGCATAATCCCATAAATTCAATCTACCGTATAAGTGCGGAAGGCAGGTTATGTGAAAAATACATAACTAACAATACCTGCAAGTCCTGCTCCAGCCACACCAAATAAGGAACCAATGACAGCTACACCTGCTGTTGTACCTAGTGCTGCTGCTCCAGCACCACCAATAATAGCACCAGCACCAGCAGCTACAAGTGGAGCTGCTAATCCTCCTGTTAATCCTACAAAAAAAATCCTCATAATCATAAAAACAAAATTCCATAGAAACAAAATTAAAAGATTGTTGTAAACTATTTAAGCTCTCTTTTTAAGCTTTTATCTGAGGATTTTGTACACCCACAACAATAAGAGACATATTAAAGACAAATATATCACAGACTTCAGTCAAAGTTAACAACTTACCTATAATAGTTCCTCCACCAATTGTAGCCAAGCCAATGAGAGCATAGCGTTTAAATTTACTATTTCGTGCTTTCTTTGCTTTTTCCTTTGCTTCATCTCTGAAATAAAATTTCAGTTGTATAAATAGCTTATTAGAACTAAGGGTCTTAAAAAATGTTATATTAATATATATAGATCCATAATGAAAATCCTATGCGAGAGCATATAAATGTTTCCTCATGCTTCATCGTAATATCTTCCGATCTGGATCCAATTTTATTTTCTTAGAAACTTCAATATAAGGTTTACCAGATCAAGTCAGTTTTATTGTGAAAAACTGTAAAGACTGTTAGGTCACACAATGACTTAACGAAGTTTGGTAGAATAGGTGACTATCGTGAGTATAAAACATCACTGCAAATCATGTTAGACTGATAGATTAATATTTATGTTGCTATTTTACACTAATACAATGTAGTATGCATTATCATGCAACACAAATCTGAAGTAAGACATGGAAATGTGGAGTGGGATTATACACGGAACAATGCCACAGGAATCATAATATTCATTAAGTGTTAAACAATATCATTTATTACAATCACATTCTTTGAAAACAGAAAATGCTTTCCAAAATAATTTGTTTTTACGTACTCTGACACCTCATACTGTTCAGCTTCTAGTATCTCAGCAAGGCTTCCTTCAATTTCCTCCATTGTATCCCATGTAACACGTAGTTGCCATGACACATGTTTAATTAAAACACGAAATCTAGCATCATAGTTGCCTTTCTGGATTGCCATGGTAATGAAGTCTGTCACTAACGGTTCAGCACTTTTGGTTTTAGGAAGGATCTCCTCTTTTAGTAGAATATCTACATATGGATCAGAATCGTCAATACCCTGACCATCTAATATAGCTTTTATAGCTTCTTCAACCTATATTTGTAACATAATATAATTAATATCAAAGTATATCAGGTGGCCTCCAAAAGTTATAAATCTGAAATTTGTTCTATCTATGTGGAACCTGCTAGTGTTCATTCAGTTAAAATAACTTAAAGGGCCAGTCTCCCTGAGAATATTTTTGTTAGTAATTCGCAAGTGTTTACAGGTAGAGGATCTTCAATCATGTGATAATATTTTGCCTTATTTAGAAACAGCATTTCAGATGGAGATATCACAACAAATGGATTAAAATCCCAAATTTTCGCAGATTGTCATTTGAAACTTGAGATTGTATTGAATCAAACATCTTAAAATAAAACAAAATATAAATTTAATTATCTGTGATACTGATTATATCATGGCAAATTTTATTTTTAAGACTTGTTAATATACAAACAGACAAAAACTAATCCAGGAACCTGTATTAGACAGACTACAAGTCTACTAGTTATAAACCTTGTGACCAGTTCATGGTGCATTTTTTTTACATAGAGTGGATGGAGGGAGAAGAAATTAGATCTTTGACTGAACTTTCTATAATTAACAACGCCATATCACTAACAGCCATGACCTAACCCACCAATTTAAACCAGTGAAAAGAGACTCTTTTGCTAAGCTATGATTTGTGATAGACCCCAGGTGATATCCCAGCAGCTCAATTACAACTAGATCTAGATGCAAAGTCATACCTTTGTCCTAAAGTTGTATGACAAAGTGAAGACTAGAAAACAAAAGGAAATTCAAAAGAAACAAAGAATGTCTAGACATTATCTCTAATCACATTAATTATTCATAATACTGTAGATAAGATAAGAATAGAGAATTTGCTCTTAAAAGATTCAATAGTATCTTCATGTACCTGTTCTGGTTGTTTCATGTATTGTAAAAGGAAATTCAAAAGAAACAAAGAATGTCTAGACATTATCTCTAATCACATTAATTATTCATAATACTGTAGATAAGATAAGAATAGAGAATTTGCTCTTAAAAGATTCAATAGTATCTTCATGTACCTGTTCTGGTTGTTTCATGTATTGTAAAATCATGGACAAAGTATTCTTTTTAAACTGACTGAAAAATAGAACAAAAATCCAATATAATTTAATTGTGTAGTCCTTTCAGCCGTTGCTCAGCAATGAAAGATTACATACGGCTCAACACAAAACATATTGTGATGTACTTGTATTACCTTGAAGTAAATTTAACTGTTTTGCTACATATTGTTAATGCTATCATGCACTATTCTACTGGTACCGAAGTACTGTACTGATACAAGAATATACCAGAAAAATCATCTTATTAGCTGTCACAAGGTTTTCAGAACCTGTCCGTGCATCAAATGTGTTACACACTTGAGATCTTATAGTCGTCCTGTTTCTGTTTATAATTCCTTTTAATAAATTATACAAATTTATAGTCGTCCTGTTTCTGTTTATAATTCCTTTTAATAATTTATACAAACTGTTTGTTAATGTTAAGACAGTTTTCAGTCACCAACATTTATAGCTGATTAATATCTAAAAATAGGTTTTAACTTACTCATTGAAGTCTTCTTCAAATAGCATCTTAAGTGAAATTGCACACAGAGCTCCAAGTGAAAACTGGCCAGCATCTGAGAGCTCCATAAAATGTGGTAAAGCTTCAGCTTCTAAAAGTGAAAAAAAAAAATATTCATCTTCTGTATAATTTTTGCCTCTACAATTTGAAGATGTAAACAAAGTAACGCTTGGATGTGAGACCAAAAACAAAAATGTTGGGTTACAATCTGCTTCTGTTGAAAATTTTACATAGAAGCTTCGATTTGAAATAAAAAACAAAAATGTTGGGTTACAATCTGCTTCTGTTGAAAATTTTACATGACCTATAAAGCCAGTGTTGAGATGTAACCAAACCAATTTTGTGTTCCAATGCCAACAGAGTGGGGCAAAATGAATATATGACTGATTATATGTTACATGCCCGAAAACACTTTTTAATCCCTTTTGAAAACAGATTGATCATCGCATGAAAACTGTCTTGGTTATTGCACATTTAATCATCACAAATTCTAAACAGACTCAAAAATAAAACTGCCATCATAATTGTTTTATTTTATTCTGCACTTTGAATAAGAATCAGTCTGACAAACCTTTCAAGTAAATGGATTACACACATGTAGGCATACCAGCAGCTTACCAAAGTGAGAGAGAGCGAAATGGGCTGGTTTAACGTCCACTCGACACAACTAGGTCATTTCGGCACTAACATTATAATAATTTGCTTGCGAGTAGGAGTCTTTCGCCGTGGGAGGAAACCGGAGGATCCAGGAGGTTGGACAGGCGACCCTACTCCTTGCCACATACTGCCGGGGAATTGAAACCACGCCAGTTGACTCAATCACAGACATTATGGTAGAGCGTACATGCGCTAACCATTCGGCCATCCAACCCCCCACTTACCAAAGTACTAGACTAGAGAGTAGAACAGATTTTGGTGATATGAACTTAACCCAGTCTAGAGATTCAAAAAGACACTAATTCAACAAATATTAAGATACATTTGGTCTCAGTGCCATCACATGTGTGTGGACAATATTAAATGATTTAGGTTATCATTTTAAAGGAGCTAAATTGCTATTCTTTGGCACCTAGAAATGGACACAAATGGGTCACAATGCAAATACACAAAGTGTAGAAGTAACAAATTGAATGGCAGTCTAAAGCGTCCGGTTATTCCAGCCTACACTGGTAGTATTCTCCTTTGGGGTATGTTTAGCCTGTTTCATCGAATCACTTCATTACAAATGGCATTCAAAAGCATTCTGGCACTCGATTCATGTGCCAACTTTAAATTTTTCATTTTGTCTTAAATATTGGATATCAGAAGCCCATCTTTTCATAGTAGTATAACACTATCAATGTTGATTTAAATTGATCAATAAGTCGTGTTTGCAATGTTGAAGTCTATAGATGATATTGAGTTAGCGACTTGCCTCCTTTATTAATTAACAAAATCGATTGCTTGGATGGTGCTGATGAGGTAGCCTACATCCAGGGATGTGCCCAGGATTTTTTGGGAGGGGGGCGTGGTCTTTTATGAAAATTCAACTCTTATGCTAAACAAAACTGTAAATGTAAGTGGTATTACATATACCACTATAGTTATTATTACTATAGTTTACTATATACTGCAAATTAATTTACTAAAAAAAAAAAAGAACTGTTTCAAAGTCAAAAGCCTCTCGTACTTATTAGTGATTAGTGAACAAGTAAAACAGTACACTCGCCTTGCCGCCTAATTTATTTTTTTGTGGTAGGTGTAAATAAAATGGTCTCTAGGATTTAGTTTAGATTCGCTAGAATTAACGGTAGAATGAGTACATTAAAAATTGATCGTAAAACCGAAAGTAAGACACCATTTACGACATCCAAACCTTTAACACTGGAGTGCCGTAAATTGGTCTGGGTGACCTATTCACGGCAAATATACAAATTTAAAGACTCAATACCACTCTTGTTGTAACTGAATAATATGTCCTAATTTTTATTCTGGTCAACAAATTGTACTATTTTACAATATTCCAATTAATTGATGATACAAATTTCATCTTAACACACCTAATTTAAAAAATTGGAAAAATTCAACTAAATGATTTGAAAAGCCTGACGTAAAGCTTTTCAAATGTGACTTGGATTTAAAAATATTTTTGAACCCTCTGGACAAGTAAAATAGGATTTAATGGATAATTTACACAACAGGTAAGACACTAACACATCTAGTACTTAGAATAAGGCTATTTTTTATTTTATGGAGCTGTCAAGCCAGCAAGAGTGTTATTGTCCCTTTAAAGACAGTAGAATTGTAAAATGAATAGACCTACACAACTTCTAAATATAAATAAACAAAATACCAATACTTCTTTCTTTAAACTAATTTGGGATGATAGGGTCTACTACAGCACATTTAAATAAATTATGCCGTGGTAGACATGGTTTGCGTCGGCTTTTACCATGTTGATACTAACAATGTGAGATAACAAGGCGAAGGCCCGGCGAACCCGAGTGAAATACACAAGCAGGAGTCCTTAGATAATTCAGTCAGCCTCTGGTCTATGGAGTGTCCAAACACTCGCGTTTACTTTATTATGTCATGTGGTACCAGTGCTCCCACAGTTGCACAGATTTTCGTATTATAGTTCAACTAGTTACTAAAGTAACTATAGTTCAACATGCAGTAGTGACCAGCCATACCATACGATAGAGCACGGTCAGGCTAGTTCAGACTGTGTATGTAGTCACAACTATAGTCTACATCCGAAGGTCGCCCAGACTTTAGTCGCAACCATAGTCCACATCTGAAGGTTGCCTAGTACTAGTAGTAGTAGTAGTAGTCCTAGAAGTGGGCCATATGGAAATTAGTAGTTCTAAGCCATGTGTTTTCCAGTCCCAATAAAACAGAAACAGTGTGTTGGTAATCCGAAATACGCTGCAAATGATATTAATTTAATCATTGAATTAAAAAAAAATATATTACTCATTTCTTTGACAACTTCTGTCATCTTGTTAAAAAATTAGATCTACGTCTCTGATGTTTATAAAAATGGACTTCCGGGTTAAAGGTTAAATATTAAGGTCCGTCTAAAATAATAGCTTCGATTACAATTTCGGAATAAAACTTATGCATGTGTAATAATCTGAAAATTCAATTAAATAAAAGTACTATTACAATTCAACAGGTTCAACGGAATAAAAAAAAGCTAATGAGGAAATATAAAATAACTAAAAGATATATCAAGCGTCCATGTTAGGTTTTAGACGAAGCCATTCATCATTGGCCACAAGCTACTTCCGGATGAAACCTTCACGCGTGCTGAGAAAACCTGGGAAATAAAATTTAGTTTGCAAAGAACTATACGGCGGGAAACATGGAAAGTTGGTTGTCTGCTGTTGGTGCTGTAAGCGCTGGCTTGGTTGGGTCGGCACTATTAGTACATAAATACAGGTTACAAGTTTGTTTTTTTTCCTCTACATTTAGACCCAAAAATATATAGATAGAACTCAAGTCAATGACCATTGAATACCGCTCGGGTTCTTCAATGGTTCAAGAGAGTGTATCCCCTATGGCTATATAACTAACTGAAGTAACAGAAAAAATAAGATTAACCTTTTGCAGAATAAGTGGTTATCAATGAAGAGGGTTTGGCTTGAATTTGATAGTTGTTTGTTATTTGTTTCTTTTAAACATTTGCTCTCATTATTACACAAATCCAAAAGTATGCATCTCATGGGTATCAGGCGTATTCAATACCAGGCTAATTCATTACCGGTAAAATCGGCGTATTCAAGACCAGTATATTATAGGGTTGGTTGATCGGTATATAAAGGTGCTAAGTAGTACTCTGTCTATGGGTGTTAATTGATCAATTAAGACAAGACAATAGAAGGATTAACAAGGTATTTATTATATATTTTAAATAGTCATAATACAAACAAGAGTTGAAATATTTAATATTCGAAGACAATATTTACATATAAAACATCGTATGCGATTAATAATAGCCATAGTTTCGTATTCAACTTTGAACTGAGTATTGTGTTAACTTGACGTTACTATTAATATTATATATTTTAAATAATCATAATACAAACAAGAGTTGAAATATTTAACATTCGAAGACAATATTTACATATAAAACATCGTATTCAGTTGATGCGATTAATAATAGCCATAGTTTCGTATTCAACTTTGAACATAAACTAGGATCCATTATGATTAGGCTATACTTAACTTGATATGTATCTGAGATACCGATATCAAATGGTGAAAGTTTCATATTTTATTCGAAATATATACAAATTCCAAGCTTGCATCGGAATTGGTTTGATGTTTAAAATACAAAATAACAAAGCCGGGATTTACAATCTCAAGCTTAAGATTAAATAATTTGAACAACAACTCAATAATAAAACAAACAATTTTAATACATCAAACACCAATCATTAATTAATAAGTATCGTATAGGCTTCTATCCACACTGATGAGTACTAATTAGCACCTTTATACACCGACCAATCAAAATAACAAAGCCGGGATGTACAATCTCAAGCTTAAGATTAAATAATTTAAACAACAACTCAATAATAAAAAAAAAACAATTTTAATACATCAAACACCAATCATCAAAATCATCTATAATAATTATCGAATCGGCTTCTATCCACACTGATGAGTACTACTTAGCACCTTTATATACCGATCAACCAACCCTATAATATACTGGTCTTGAATACGCCGATTTTACCGGTAATGAATTAGCCTGGTATTGAATACGCTAGGATTCATTTCATGCACTCAGCAGAGCAGGCGGGAGAGAAACCGGGATATCGAAAAAAAGAGACATAAATGAAATAAAATGAAATGGGGTTTTAACGTCCTGTTCTGCTCCGAACTAGGTTGATGAAGACGGAAAAGAGAAATAAGGATGTGGAGAGATGTTTTAACCCCACTTGACTCGTACTGTATTTGTAGGTATGGAGATAGAACTGTCAACTGTTGGTTCTGCAATAATAAAACTGTTGTACCTTATGGTAATGTGAATTGTTTTGATTGCCCACATTGCGAACAATATAATGGCTTTGAAAAGGTAAAGTAATAAATTGTGCATCTTTTTAATTTATGTATGTAAATCTGTATTTGTAGATTTCTCTTCAGATGCCCCTTTATATACATAAAGAGTTAAACAAAACGAGTACTTGGTGTTCGTGCATTTGGCTTAGAGCAGTGGACTATGGAAGCTCACAGATCATATAGCAATAGAAAATAACACTTAGTATCAGTGATGGGATTTCAAAATTTTAGTTGTCGGACATTTTCTTCCCCAAAATAAAGGGACATAACTCTTATCGTTATTTAAGCAGGCATTTTCAAACCACAATTAAGAATCATGTGTCAACAAAATATTCAAATTCATACTTAATGAAAAAAATGGGTGCACCTCGTTATTTTTCATATTTAATTCCCGTACGGTATTCAAATTTATGTCAATAATATTCCTACAAAATTACATGACATCGTAATACCATAGAATGAAAGCGTGCCGACTACTGCCCATCAGTAACGGTTTCAAATTCACCCAAATTTACCGTAATTTTTTTTTATGGTTTCAGGTAAATCATTCCACAATTGTGCACCTTTATAACGCAAACTATTCTTAATAATATCTAAATTCGGTCTGAAAAGGGTCAGTCGAGAATTAATACTGCTATAAGGAGTCTTATAATTAAACAATAGATTAGATAAATAACTTGGGACAAACATTGTTAAGTATTTTATATATGAAAATAAGTTTGTTTAACTTATGTCTTGACTCTATATTCAGCAGCTTGCATTTCCTTAGAAAAGGGGGCAAGTCATTAGAATGTTTATGATCAAAAATGAGTTTGAAGGCACGATTTTGTTGACACCGAAGGAGTAAATATGTAGTTTTAAATTGCTAAAGTTATCCCAAATTGGAGAGCAGTAATCTATATATGGCCAGAAATGTGACTTGTAATATAGTAGCTGGAAGGATTTAGATAGATATTTTTTAATCCTTCGCAATTGAAATAGTTTCTGGGTAAAAAAATGACATCCCGAAATTTATTTGGCCGTAAATCGTAGTAAACGTCGCTCTAATACAACGAGCGAGTGACACCAACTGCTAAATAATCCCATTTGACTCTAAGCACGCGCTATCGTCTAAAACAATTACCGTAACTACTTACGTTATTCCAATCGAAGTATTCGTCAACCTTTCTTGGCTTGTTTATTTATTTATTTAAAAACATAAACCCCATTCAAAATATGATCATAAATCCGACAATATGCCATCAAAATAGAATCTTTTCTCCCGACATCAGACGTATTAGATTTGGCACGTTTACACCTCTTAATTCCATGTGTCTCGCAAGATTTCTACTTTCATTTTGCGTGTGTATGAATAGCTTTATTAAACTTCGGCTTCCACTGAAGAAATATCACATACACGTTATCGGACACAATGTATATGTATACTATTAGGATATGTGACATATATGACTAATGTCTACGGCCGACATCAATGAGATTAAAACGTGAGACAATGGAGAAATCACGGGTTAATCACGTATTAAGTTTATTGGATTGATATATAGTCCGACAAAGGAGAAGCAATGACTTCTGTTCAGGATTGAATTGATGAATTGTCCGACAAAGAATTAAGTTAGCCAATTAAGGCAGATTAAGTAGTTAATCAAGGTAGGTGTATAGACGGTATAAAACGATAAATACGTTGATCACTTAATTACCTAATCAGTCCAGCCTATTATCAACGATAATCGGGTTGAGTGGTAGTTATACGTTCAGTACACTATATTAATTTTGGAATTTTGAATATTATTTACCATGTCTTGATGTCCGATTGGGCATATTCCTGGTCGGACAATTTAGGACGTTTGGAAAATGGCGTCGGACATGTCCGGAATATACGGGCAAAATCCCATCTCCGCTTAGTATATTTTGTCTGAAAGAAACTGAAGTATTGTATTGTTTATATTCAGGATGGAGGCTATAATAAAACTATACCAGCACAGTTTTATGAAGATATGAACCATGTAATGACGTGTCAAGCTAAAGAATACCTTGGAGCTACCTCTACCTTATGTGCAACATGTCAACAAAATCAGCAATTAAAAATACGACAGCTATCTATTTTTGAACCATTAATAGAAGTAAGTGCTCAATTATAATAGACTGGAAATAAAATAAAGTGACCCACTGTGTGATTCACTACATCAAATCTTAAACAGTTGAAAACAGCATAAACAAATACTTATTTACCTGTCTTAAGTCCATAATCAGACCTTGAAATCCACTGCAGGAAAGGTCATGTTAAAAGCTGAGAGAGCTTGATGTCAGCTGCAGCACAGTCAGGACTCTATAAAAGTTGAGTGTGCCTGTGCCCACACTTGAAAATGTGCCTGCAGGGTCATACTCAAAAGGAGAGTATTCAATTGCCAGGTATATAGTATGATTGTGGGGGGGGGGGGCTTACGAAAGCTTCTTTGGTTGGACTCGGCAGAAGAAGAAATTATAAATAATTTTTAATACCTTTAATAAAGATTATGTTTGATGTGCATATTGTTGTTGTTTGGGGTTGATATAAACATAGAACAGATGCCTACCGGCTTCAAACAAGTTCATTAAATCCCTTTGCGCAGCCAGGTTGTCATTCTACATGTATAAACTTAACTTCCGGTATAATTCGGATACTAACAAGAGTTGTTTCCCTTGACGATGACAAGATATTCATGTACCGTAACTAAAATAACTGTTGTTCTGATGAGGCCTGAATTATTTTCCAATAGTGTGCTGATTACTACATGGTACTGGTGTTTAGGGGTCGCCGAGGTCACAGGTGATAGTTCATACGTCGCGTGCTATTCTTTTAATCATCGACTGGCATTCTACTAGAATTGTCACTAAATTAAGCAGAGGTGATAGGTCATAAGTCACAGGTGGAATCGCTAACGTCGCGTGCTGATGTTTTTATCATCGACTAGCTTATTCTAGTAAATTATTATACGGTAATCAAAGTAAACCAAAAAACAAAAAAAAACAATAAAAATAAATAGTATTCTTTATTTTACATGATTTACGTGACAGTAATAATTTTTAAAAATGTGCCTGCAAAAAAATATTTTAAAGCAAATGTGCCTGAGCGCATGTGCCCGGAAATATCGATGCCAGAGCACAGTTAGCATTATATCTGGTCATAGTAAAAATTTCTCTTGAATCATCTGACAAAATGAGTTGAGCCCTAGTTCCATTTACAACTTTGTGCAACTTTGTAAAAATATTTTGTTATATTATTGAAAAAAGGGAATCAAAATTTTTACATGTAACTATTTTCTATAACCTTATTTATAGGAAAATTATGACATAGAAGTTGAAGAATATAAAACCCAGTTAGAAAGAAATTATAAACTATGTGTAGAGTGTCAAACACGTGTAGATAATGAACTAGCTAAACAGAACAAAACACTTTATAAAAAATTAATAGGCACAAAATTTGATGAGTGTTCCAATTTAGATGAAACTGTATGCTCAACAGTAAGTATAATATATCCTTCTTTGAAAATAACCCTCTTTTGTTTTATGTAATGAAATGTAATACAGATACATTTAATTTAAAACTAATGGGCAGCTAATTATGCTGATAACCTTTGACTTGAGATCATCTTCTACCTGGTAGCTTCAGTAGCATAGGTTTGAAAAAAGTGTTGTCCAAGCACATTCATCTATCTCCCACATTGCACATGTAGCTATAAAAAATTGATATATGTTAGTCTCTGAATGAGATGTTAAACTCCATTCCATTCAATGATGTCAATAGTACCATTATGCTAATGTTGATCGCACAGATTGGAATGCAGCCTCCTTAGTTCCTTAATATGAATAAAACTTATTATATCGGTGTGAACAACTTTATTCAAGTCCCATAACTGTCTGCAGCTTGGTGATACTTTTTATTCACCCACATGGAAATGGGGACGTAGATTGCCGTAGCCTCTTGTCTTTCGGTCCATCGTCCGATTGTTTTAAAATTAATATATGTTGTTTACATTAGTGAGATGAAGAATCCTATTTAATTTCAATAATTTCTGTTTGTTACGTCTAAGAGTTATTGCTCTTGTTTCACTGTGTTGAACTTTGTGAACGTTCTAACGGTAAAAGTTATCATACAATTTTTGTGAAATTTATAAGTATTATTTGAATTAGTGAAACGAAGAAGCCTTTTGAATTTCAGCAATTTCCATTTATTATGTCTAGAGTTATTGTCCTTGTTTCACTTTATTGAACCTTGTGAATGCCAACATTACCATCCAGTCTGTATGAAATTTATATGCATCATGAATTTAGATTAGTGAAACCACAAACCCTATTGAATTTCAGCAATTTACAATAATTACTTCTAGAGTTATAGCCCTTGTTTCACTTTGTTCAACCTTGTTAATGCTTGGTTGATGAAAGTTGTCATCCAAAATGTATGAAATTTATATGCATCATTTAAATTTATGAAACCGAGGTCTATTGAATTTCAGCCATTTTCATCAATTATTTCTAGAGTTATGACCCTTGTTTTACTTTGTGAACCTTGTAAACAAAAGTTATCATCAGATTTGTATGAAATTTATATGCATTATTTAAATTGGTAAAAAGAAAAATCCTATCCAATTTCAAAATTTTCTGTAAATTACTTCCAGAGTTAAGACCCTTGTTTGTAGAACCATGTGCACCCTCAAACGACAAAAAATATAATCTGACCTGTTTGAAATTGTCTTGTAAATGCACCCAATTATCTACAAAAGAATAAGTATGCGACAACCCCTGTTGACCGCTTGGACGATTTAGCTGCTGTGAACGTTATGTTTCATTGCCTGGCAACCTATCTTTGAATGAGTCGACCATTGATCCCCATTTTACATGATGTGTAAGTGCCGAGATAACTATGTCTCTTTACTTGCTGAAGTTATAATTGTAATTATTGTGATTCCTTTAATGAAATACATTAACCATTAAGCAATTTTAACAATTATTTCTGAGCAACTCAATATTTTGATGAGTACTTTTGCTGACAAGGTAAATCATTGTATTGTCACATTGACATTTTACTTGTGTACTTACACTACCCTTTTACTTTCTATGTCCTGTGAAACCGATTGGTTATTAATAAACTAGGTACGCTTGCTATTTCCAAAACACTAGATACCACCTCCTGTTCTTAGGTATTGGGAAATTCACTCTGACTAAATGTATCAGTGTCTTAAATAATGTTGTATATATTTCAGAATGATATAGAAGAAACAGAAGCCATGAGTCCATTGTGTCAAAGACTATTTACTGTTTGTTCTGGACTAGTGGTGTTTTTGTCAGTTATACTAGTGTGTAATATGAGTTTATATACAGCTGTAATAAGTCGTCATATACCATCAATTATATTAGATGTTACATATCATACAGTTCAACCACATGCCTTTCCTTTAATAGTTCTTACAACATTCTTAACTTTACTCTCAAAATTAATAATAGGTAAAAATAGGTAAGTGTCACCATATATTATGGATTTAATGGGCATTACCCACCTTCTACAGCTGTTCCATTAAAAAAAAAAATATGAGGTGCAAGGCATAATTTTTAAAATTGTATGTTTTTTGCCTACAATCTTATGGAACAAAATAAACTTTGTTGGGTTTTTAAAAATGTAGAGCACTGAGAATACCAGATGCAATCACATCTTTGGCAGCATCACTTCATAATAAAAAAAAACATTGGTATTATGTTACCCATGACAGATGCCTTGGGGACCTTTGATGGGCATGTGGCAGATATAAAATATAAGATGAATCAAATTTTCGTAATACAATAGACCAAATACTTTTGTAATATCTTGACGGCTAATGAATTTTAATTCAGGAATTCCAGTCCATTTAAAGATTTTGTCAGAAAGAAATAATGAAACCAAGAAAGTACCTGTAATCCATGTTAAGAGATTAGAATTTTTTTTTTCAGATTATATATGGTAGATAATATACACTCTTTTACTTGCTTGATATTGTTACTCAGTAAATCACAATATGTTCCATACTGGATGTTTCCCGATCTTCCAGTCTTATTAATACATAGTATTTCATTAATAACTGCTATCTGTTGTCTCATAAGATCTAGACCATTATCAAATGCAACAACAGCAACATTTAAAAGGTGAGTAAGTTATGAATTTGGCGTTTGAATCAGTTCTGTAACTCCCCACCTCTAAAAGACCTCATCGTTATCTCATCGTTGAACTTTCAATTTGACTTAAAAAATAGACCAATTTCAACAGAACATATTCTTCTGGGGTGGATTCAATCAAATTAAAATGAGCAAATTAAAATGAGACCCATAGGTGACACCGAAACACATAGGGTGATGATGGCTTGTGTTGATATCGTATAGTGTCTTTAGAGGATACAAAATGTTGACAAATTTCCAATTCATCATATCTTCGTAAGTAAATATTGAACAGAACTGAACAATTTTGGACTGATATTACTTTTGGATATAAGCTAACCCTCAAATAACATTCAGAGACTTTAATCATTAGATAATCTTCTCCCCATTGAACTAGTAAAATATTTATATTAATGCGTACTTTTATTTAAAGATAGATTAAATAGTGACCTGTTAAACTATTAGATACAATTTGACATGAATCTACAATATTTTATTACCTGCTGGAAAAGGACAAAAGGACAGGGTGATTCTTAGTCAAGAAGGTTGTTGGTAACTCAGTCTGACAACTGGATATTGGTATATCTTTGTCAATAGTTGTTTGTTAGTAGAATGGATTCTAAGAGTCTTTTTAATCACCGGGGTATATCTAACCCGATTTAGAAAATGGTTTTGATGAAAATTGGATCATTCAATTGAAGGAATACTTAAATTAATTATTTCAGATTATCTTTAGATAAAAGTAATTCTAGTGAAAGCAGTACAGCTGTATCATCTGTTAGTACAAGTCGCAAGGCTGTAGACATAGCAGAAACACATCAAGTCAAACAATATAACCCTATTCAAGAACTTGATGGTTTGGATTTTAATGTCTGCTCTATAGGCTCTAAACCAATAGCTTCCAAAGATTCTGGTTAGTCTTTTTCGCAAACTTTCAGTCAATTGAGTACTTGTATATTCTGTGTTTGGGTGGAGTATGTTTCAATATACAGTGGACTCATCATATGGGATCAATGCAATATGCCAGATTACACAGCATGTCGGATTACTCAATATCGGAAGTATTATCGTACCTTCGAATACCGGATGTATTATTATATTGCAGCCTCGAATACCCAGAACTTAAAATATGATAAAGCTTTCTGTACATTCAAAATTCATTGCATTTCATCAAACAATTGCATAACAAGACACAATAACATAACATGTACATAGCAATTTACTTTGAATATTAATAACCCGAATAAGTAGTACTTGTCAACCAAGTCTTATGATTGACCGACCAATTGACGGACAGGTTGTTTTTGTCCACGCCCTTAAACCACCTGTGAGTAATATCGTTTCTTACTGATGTTAAAATTATCGTCAAACATGTTTGAATTCATCTTTCCGCTGGGGGAATATCGGATACTGTAGTACGGCCAATTGGATACTTAAAGATACATTATGGGAGATAAGATAAAGAGATGGCAGTTCTCGCTATAATAGTTAAAAACTAGATAGTGTAAAGGTAATTTGCTGAAAATTTCAGTCAAATTGATCCACTATGAGCCGAGAAAGAAGCGGGTGAAATTTTTGCATAGTCTCGGTCATCATTACTAAAATCATTAATATAAACAGCATAGTCTCGAATATCCACTTTTTTTAATTTAATTATCAATGGCTGTTAGCGGCATATAGGAATCTAATCCAGCCAACATCGAAGGCTAGCCTTGACATCAAGAGTTTATTATGGTCTGGATAAGTTAATTAATGTCTAATTGATAAGTTAGATAACATTTCAGGCCTAAAGAAAGACTTGTAACAAGCAGATTTTGCTCTTGCATAATGCATGTTTAACGGCTAATTCCTTTTGTGTAGGTCACGTAACTTTCAATCTGGGGGGTTGGATGGACCGAATGGTTAGCACGTGTGCGCTGTGTCATAAGGTTGTGTCATTGAGTCATCTGGCTTGGTTTTGATTCCCCGTATGTACGTGACGAGGAGTAGGGTCACCTGTTAAACCTCGTGGCCTTTCTCTGGGTCCTCCGGTTTCCTCCCACTGCGAAAGATCCCTAGACGCAAGCGAATTATTGAAATAAAATTGAACCAGACATTAGTTCCGAAATGACTTAGTTTGTGTCGAGTGGACATTAAACCCCATTTTCTCTTTCTCTTTTCTCAAAATCTGCTATAATTTCCTGCTTGACATCCAATGGCAATCTGTACGGGCACACTTTTCAGGACGATCACACACATTATGAACACAATATTATAGTGATTCTTCATCTTGGCAATTTCTATATGTCGCTGTATTTGAGTGAGAAACGCAAATCAAATACCAAGCGCTCTCCTACAAGAGATAATAAAATAATCAAGGTAATCAACAAAGACCGACACATGGTTTATGTTCACAGATAATTGATTGGTGATTGCCTGTCGGTTAACACCCACTGATTGAAGGCTGGATTATTCAATGTTAAATTGACCGCAAATCATGTGACCGGACCTCTGATTGAATCCGGACTACTCAAAATTTTTTGGGTTGAAGTTATAAGGAAATAAATCAGGACATGAAAATGATGACGGATTTCACAGAATGCCGTCGTATTCAGATGTCTGAAGTGACAAGAGTCCGCTGTATTACGCAATGTCTTAATGTCAAGACCATTAAACAACTTAAAATACAGACACTCGCACGTTCAAAATTTCAACTAGTATAAATAATGTACACTTGGCACATTTGTATTTTAATTAATGTTATTACAGGTATGTTTTCATGGACTGGATCAGCATGTAGTATTGACACTATTTCCAGTTTACCACATATATCATCTACTACCAGACAGAGAAGACCTTTAATTAGTCCAGCTAAATTACACTTTAATGCTTCCAAAGAAAAATCGTTTGGTAAGATTCTTAAATTAAATGCCTTCAAATTTGTTCCATAGTAATAGACACCAACACCAAATTTGTTCTGGTGCACATACATTTGTAGTGTGTTAGGACTTCTTCGTTTTTCTTTAAATTACTAAATGTATTTCTGTTAGATTCTTTTAATGATAATCTGTTTGAAATATTAAAAAATCATTTGTTAAGATTCTTAAATTAAATGCCTTCAAATTTGTTCCATAGTAATAGACACCAACAATGGTTTTGTTGCTGGTGCACATACATTTGTAGTGTGTTGGGACTTCTTCGTTTTTCTTTAAATTACTAAATGCATTTCTGTTAGATTCTTTTAATGATAATCTGTTTGAAATATTAAAAAATGATATCTTTATCTTGAAATATTAATCTTTTTCTTTTTTTAGGCCATACAATGAGTGCGTCATCAATATCACTTTTCTCTAATGGTGCAACATACTGTGAGGAGAAACAGAGTTTATTTGGCAATACAACAGTTTCTTCTAGGCTTCCAGAATCTGTTAACACTATGAAGGGAATAAAAGCACCTTCATTATTTCAGAATATGAACTCTGTCATAAGCCCCCCTGCTCCTTATAGTGTGTTGCAGCAGACAAAATTAACATCAGAGCAGACGGATATATCCGAATTTGCAGACGACACACAATTAACAACAGAGAAACTTTCAATGTTTAATCTTCAGCAGTCGCTAATCAGACCAAAAATGTTTGAAAATCACCAGTATCTAAATCGCAATCCCTCCGTAGATGTAAGTTCACACCCAGTGCAAAGCAGTTCTTACTCATATAAAACTGATTTCATTCCGGCACAGTGTGCTGTAGATAGCACAACTAATCCAGAAATAGAACAAGAGGTGTCAATGTCACGTGAGAGCACATGTACAACACATATGAATGAGCATAAAGGTAAACATTATTCAGTAAATATGAAACTAAATATAGCAACCGTATTCACCATATAAAAGTTAAGAAGCATATTATTTTATTTTGAGACTTTTATTGGAACAAATCAGACATGGTTGAAATTTAATTAAACGTAAATTAAAGTACAAACTTAATGGATAACAGTATTGACTCTCCAGCTGATCAAATATGGCTGTCACTTAAATGATTCCCAGATCAATAGTTCAGAGATAGATATTTACACGTGTCAATTTTTATACACATTATAAAGTGTAGAAATTGTCAAATGAAGCATTAATTAAGAATCTTATATTGTTCTGAAGTTGATACAGCATGGACATAAATAATATGAAAAGAGATTAACTTGGAACAGTCTTCAAATTATTTAAATTGGATATTTATGATGCATATTGTTTATTTTCAGGTTTTTCCACTCAGTTTATCATCTTATCAAGTGGTGTTGTAGTGATGTTCAGTGTTGTGGTAAATATAGCCGTGCATGTTGCCTGGAAACATCTGTTTTAATCAACAGTGTTATTCTCAAGCAAATTTATCAAAGTGGACATCATTGGCTTTCTGTGATGGAGATGATCAGTTAATTTGATATTTTACAAGTTGTTTATTTTCCTATCAAAGGATGACTTTTAAGATTGATTTAATTTGTTTTATCCTTGTGCCACCTTTAAATGTTTTGTGCATTCAGGGGCAGACTGGGCCAGAGTAGTCAGATGTCCATTGTCCTAGGTTGAAAATGTTCTTTTCTTTTCAAAATAAATATAATTTTTTTACACATCCACTTAAAAAAGTTGAATCATCTACTTTCGTTTTCTCATGTCACGGAGGAGAAACCAAGAAAATCAGTCCGCTCTTGTGTGCATTACTTAAAAAGAAAGGAATTATGGAAAATATTTAAATAGATCAAAAGGTATTATTTGGTGTTTGAAATGTTTGAAGACAGTGCAATTTTAGTAATGTGTTATTTTTTGTAAATGTTATTTCTTGTGTTATGTTAATTTTTAAAATGAAATACTTACATGTAAGTTTTTAAATCAAATTGTATATGAATAAATGTTTTATATTGGTTAAATTCTTTTGTGTCAATATATTTTTTGCATGATTTTTATACGCCCAAATTTTCATGGCGTAAACACTATAAATTTAAAGTCAGTCAGATATTAACTTCAGCATCTACATGCACAGTACCAACAAAATATTTCAAAGTGATCAAGGGCCATATCTCTGGTAGTAATTATTGGAAATTGTTGAAAAGCAAGACTTTGTCGTCTCATGACTGTAAACGCTTGTGTATAGATACGAGAAGAGGAATGGCAACACTCCCTTGACAGAGTAGCTATATTTGAAGAAGGGTATTACGACCCGAAACGTATCATTAAAAAATCTCTACTCTAAACCAAGTCTGTTGTGCAGGATTTCCTAAATTTATTTTAATGTGTATGAATTTAAAGTCAATCGGATATTAACTTCTGCCTCTACAAAGTTTGTCAAAGTTATCAAGGGCCATAACTCTTGTAATAATTATCAGAAATCGTTGGAAATAAATAGGCTTCTTATCTCATGACCCTAACACTGTATAAATTTCAATATTGGATATTAACTTTAGCGTCCAAGATATTTCAAAGTGATCAAGGGCCATAACTCTGGCAGCAACTATCGGAAATCGCTGAAAAGCAATTAGACTTCTTTCTCTCATGACATTAAACAATGTGTATAAATTTAAAGTCAATCAGAAATTACCTCTAGAGCAGCGTACACAAGCAATTGTAGACAAAGGTGACAGCAATATACAACCACACTTTAATGTGGATGTTTAAAAAAGGGATTTTTTGTACAATCTTGTCGCAAATATCAAAAGGAACCGAGATCTATGGAATATAAACATACATTTTAAGTTTCATCAAACTTTACTTGGGCGTACGCCACAGCCAAACTTTTGTCACCTTCCAGTTAAATTAAGTCACTCCGCCACTGAAACTGCCTTCATGGTTACATTGCGATAAGACTGGTTTATACAGACAAAAACACAGAAATGAAATGAAATGGGGTTTAACGTCCTACTGTTCTGCTCCTAACCTGGGCTAATGAAGACGGGCATACGCCATACAGTGTGCTATGAGGGAAATTTTGCCCGGGCAGCGTCGCTAAGGCCTACTCTTATATCGAATTTCAACTGCCAAGGCTAAAACACAGTGTCACAAAGGGGGATTGGATGACCTAATGGTCCAACGTATGCACTTTAATAGATCACAAGGTCTGACATTTGAGTGATGTTGCAACTTTCAATTCCACGCTCGTATATGCTAAGGAGTAAGGTTGCCTGCCTAACCTTGTGGGTTTCCCGGTCCTCCCACTCACAAACCATATGTGTTAGTCTCACTTTGCATAAATAAGTCAAGCTATATCATTTTAACAAACTTTATTCATGGTCATCTAAAGAGAAGTATTGAAGTTTACCTAAACTGTGCCTGTCTATCCCATACAGAGGCAGACATCATTCAAATAAAACACTGGTACCAAATTTCATAAAATCCATCCAATGGTACAGAGAAAACAAAAACCATGAGTAATCATTAATGTCAGCTGCACGACATACTCAGAAGTAGCCTCTATGGGCTAAAAATGTACAAAGATAATACACAGATAGGACTGTAGTCCATATGCACAAAGAAGTACTATTAGTTAGAGAACTAATATTTGGATAATATTTAATGCACGCAGTGTGGTGAAATACAAAGTTTAGTACTACATGCAGCTAATCTTTTTATAACAGTATGGTCTGTAATACATCATTACAACGCATGGTTCATAACAGCACAGTGATGTACAGATAATATTACCCATTACGCAATCACTTTAGACAAGAAATTGTCATTTTTTTGTTGGACAATCTCTGAAATAAGTTCAACATTTATACACTAGAGCTCATATATGGCCCTAACAATATTTAACAACTAACAATTCCTTAATAAATAGATGTCTAGCCAGACAGTGAATATGAAGGGATGTGTAGGGTGTGGTGTGAGGTAAAAATGAACAGTTAACTACACACTAACAACACCAATTTTTGTTTGGTAGGCGAAATAGTCTTGACACTTTAATTCTCGCCAGAACATTACAACATTACTAACAATTATACTATAGATCAGATATTGGAGACCTTTTTAAATCAGTTGATGCAGGTACGTTCTTTGATGACTGCTCAAGAATAGGTAGTTGTGATGGCTTTCCAGATTCTATCTTGGGTAAGGGATCTAAAGTGGTAGGTTTTGATAAATGCATATCAGAAACTTCTGGAAATTCAGACATATCTGTTTGTGTTCTTGATAGCTTAGTGCTTGCTGTGTCGGAGCTTGTTCCCATAAGTAAGTCAGAGGGAAGGATCGTTTCTGTAAGAATATCAGGAGTAGAAGGTATGTCCGTCTCTACAGCTGAGGATGTGGTGGGTCTTGTGAAAGGTGCTGCAACCAGATCTGGTTTATTTGCCATTGATGCCGAAGAATGTCTTTCTTTGTTGTTATCTTTCCATACCAAATTATCACCAACATGTAATAATGGCCCAAGTTTTGAAGCCATGTCAAGCAATTCTTGATCAACATTAGACACAGATTTGATGTTTTGTGTAAATATAGATAGATATTTACTAGAAGCTCTTCTATCGCCATTGTTATACAGCAACACAGCAAAATTCAATGGTATGGACGGGTCTTTATTATCTAGAGATATAGCTTGCTCATATGCTTGTTTAGCATTATCTGGATCTTCTAAATTAGTTAATGCCACTGCCAATAGCATGAACAACTGTGCCATCTTAGGTTTAAAATTAATGGCGGCACTAAGAAAGTGAAAAGCTGAAGCAAACTGTTGCATGGAAAGATGAACTAAGCCTAGATTATACAGAATCTTCCAATCAAAGGGTGCCAAGTAGTTGGCTCGCTTTAAACAGCTAATAGCTGCTACATATTTCTTTTTTCCAAAGAAACACATTCCAATGTTATTCCATAATGATGGATTTTCAGGTGTATTTACAGCAGCTATTCTATATTTAGTTAAAGCAACATCCCAGTCACAATGTCCTTGCATCATGCTACCAGCTGCCATTATGGCTTTAGTATGTTGAGGATTAAATGTAAGAGCATTTCCTAAATTTTCAAAGGCTTTTTGATACTGCCCAACTTGCATATATAAAAGTCCTAAAGTTGTTAGTAGATCTGGTGATTCTGGATAAAACTCTACAGCATTTTTACAGATATCAACAGCTGAGTTCAAATCACCTTCCAACAAAAATAGTTTTCCCAGCATAACATAAGATACATCATGACGTCTTATATCTATAGCTTGTTTAAAACATTCCTTGGCCTTAGCTCTGTCTCTAAGATACATGTAGCATACACCTAGATTGTGTGATATTTCCCAATCTTTTGTGTTGATGTTGGATGCTTCATTATATACATCTATTGCTGCTTTATGTCTTGCAAGTAAAAACAAAGACCTGGCCACTTGTTTAAGGTTTTCTCCACTATTAGGATTTAGAAGTGTGCATGTCTGAAAGAGTTCCAAAGATTCCTGGATTTTCCCTTCTTGTCTGTGGATAAGTGCTTGGACATAAACGGCATATTCACACATTCCACCACTTTCTGTCAATTGCTCTTTGATAAGAACCTTACATGTTTCGAAGTCTTTTTGTACATAATGAAGATGTATCAACCAGTTTCTTCTTTCATTAACTGGCAGCTCTGGTGCTTTTTTTGCCTTGGGTTTTGATGCTGTAATAACTTGTGGAATTGAAGGTATTTCAGTTTCTTGGTTTTGTCCCGATTTGTTTCCATCTGTGGCATTTTCATCATTGTTGTTAGTTACATGCGCCATTTTGAAACATTGGAGACAACTCTTTTACAATAAGTTGGAGGCAGACCGCCGAGATCAACCCGGTATACAATTTAGTCATCATACAATAAATTCTGCTTACTTACCATACAATAAAGGCAGTATATTATGTTTCATAAATGTATTGTGAAAGCCTTCTTATACCTCTTTTTTTTCTTTCTAAAAGTTTATTACAAATAACATAAATATAAATAGGCTACGCCTACACAGATAAATAAGATACAAACAACAAAAAAATGCCCTTTTTTATATTTTAAATGGTTTACCAACCATCAATGACCAGGAGTCTCATTATTACATTTAGGCTACATTTATTAACATCTAACTCGGACCATAATATTATGTAAGTCAATTATATTTATACATATTATTATTAATTAAATATTCAGGGGAAACATAATGTGAGAGACAAGATAAATTATACTGCGTATAACTATATAAGACCGTGGCCAGTGTTGATCTGATTATTTGAACAAGCGGTGCGCCCACATTTTCTTGTGGACGTATATTATTGTCATCGCTCCTGTCGATCCGTCTGTCCGTCCACAATTTGTTTGTTGACACTACACTATAGGTCACATATTTTATCCGATATATATTGACGAAACCTGAAATATAGTTATATCTCCCAAAGATTTAGGGTCCTTATTTCGATATTGACATCATGATGTATCGGATCGTGGCTTCATGATGGTGATTGTACAGAAAATCACGTTTTTACCTTGTGGACACTCTAGGGGTCACAATTTTGGTCCGTTTTGATGAAACTTGATGTTTATAATCCAACAATCTCGGTTCCTTCCGATATTCACGCACATCGGACCGAAACCTCCTGAATTATCTCGTGATTGAACGAAAAATCGCGTTTTTAGCGCGTGGTAAGAACTTATCCGATTTAAAAACACGCCCAAATACATCAATTAAGGTTGTGGACCCCCTAGAGGTCACAATTTTTATCCAATTGTGGTGAAACTTAACAAATGTATTAACCCAAAAATCTCGGTACCTATCGATAATCGTGGATAACAGACCGTAACTTCCTAGATTATGGACCCTGATTGTACGACCCCCCCCCCCCCACCGATTTTAGCTTGTGGGCCCTCTAGAGGTCACAATGTTTATCTTATTTTAAAAACCGTTTAAATATATCACCGTTAAACCCAAATGAAGATTACAGCTAGGTTTGAATTTCGTAAATACCAGACCGAAAATGGCTGCTCCTTATGCAAATAGTCTAAAAGTATGTAATGCCAAGGTTGTGGACCCTCTAGAAAACACATTTTTTATCCTATTTTGATGAGACTTGAAATAACCCAAAGATCTCGGTTCCTTCCAACATTCGTGCATCTCGGACCATATAAGTTCCTGGAAAATCGCGTTCTTAATCTTAGCTTATAATGGAACCTCTTTAAAGGTCACAATTTTTATCTGATTAAGTTTAATTTTCGTGAAAATCGGACCGAAACTGCCCAACAAAATAGCTGCTACTTGTACGCAAATAGTGTAAAAGTATGTATTACCAATGTTGTGGACCCTCTAAAAGTCACCATTTTTATCCGTCTTGACGAAACTTAGAATATATGTTTATAACCTCAGATCTTGGTTCCTTTCGATATTTGTGCATGTAATTTTCTCGATTATAGCCCCTGATTGTACCAATAAGTCGATTTTTAAAGCTTGTTCTCTACCCATCTCTTGCAAAATTGGGCGTGTCTTGCCTGGCAATCGCTGGTGTATATGGGGATTGATACATATGGAATAAAGGATCATGGATAATGGACATCTGGGGCGGATCCAGGAATTTTTGTAGGAGGTTTTTTTTCCAGGTTCCTGATAAGGAAATTTGACTGTTGACAATGCATGATGCCATCATCGTCTCCAAATGACGTAGGCATACATACGCATTGAGCTTTTTAAAGGGAGAAATCTAACACCCTGTTTGATGCCAATTTTTATTATGAATTAATACGATCACATTGTGATTCCATTCATTGATGCAAAGCTTTAATTGTGATATAACATATGTGTATATCATTATCTCGCGCTTTGAATGCCTATACCATTCGACTATCTGATAATAAAGCACACGACCGTGACACTTTTTTCATAAAAGTGTTGTTTGGCCCCCCCCCCCTCCGAATCTTATGTTTTGAAAAAAAGGATCCATTTACTTGGACTTTACTATTCAAGTTATTAAACAAAATTGTTACCCAATTTAAGATGTAATTTGGGAATTTTATATATTTTAGTAGATTTAGTAGGCTATTTTCTTGACGAATGATAAAATATAGGCACTGGTCTCATTTGTGTTTATTGTCATTTTTGATGGAGCTCATTGTAACAAAATAGGCAGTCATCAATACTAAATGTTAATATATAAAAACTCAAATGTTTTTTTTTTGTTTTTTTTGCTCTTTGATTTTAAACTGACACACAAGCGTAGGTGATTTGGATGACACTATTCAAACAAGGGTTGGCCATGTTGGCCAAGAGGCCATAATAGTGAAGGTAACACAATTTAGTTTAGTTTGAGTGATGCCATGGACAGAGTGTGTAATCCAGATATTAATCTATATTGCAGATTAGTTAAGGATTCAGTGGCAGAGATGCATAACTAAAACACAATAACACGCCATATAATACTCAGTCTAAGGAGAGAGACCAGACACATGTCTTGTCAGCTTAACTGCAAATCGTCCATAAATAATACAATATTATCTTTGCTCTGTCTTAGATGACTGGCCTTTATAACATCAAATTTATAAAAAGGGTAAAATTAAATGAAATCATCCAGACAACTCATGCTATTTAGCTGCTCTGAACAATGGATTTGTCTTGTGTTGCTTTATGCATGTTAGGTTACATAACATAACTGTAGGGTTACGAGATTAAGATTAAAGAGACTGTTCATGTCTAAATCGACTGTGGGTGTATTTGATAAAGAAAACAACTTGGAAAAACAAATATAATAATTTTATCTTACATGTGCTCATTATTCATCATTTGTACTCTTCATTCATACTATATATATATCTGTAGAGCTCATTCATCAATCATTAACAAATTAACAATAAATACATGTTATATATACAATTGTCTAAAATAATAAGTCCCATGATACCGTTACCCTCAAGTCAACCATTCATACACTTTAATGGAACTTTAGCAGTATTAACTGCTTGATAAAAACTAAAGATAACAAGAACCTTCCTGTATGCATTATAAAATGAATCCCAAAAAGCTGTACAAAAATCCAACCACCTATTTTTCTAGAAAATGTTTTGAAGATAGATGTGAAATATTCAAACCCAGCATATAAAAAGTAATTAAATTACAACTTATTTTTTGGGATTCAAATGAAGGCGGTCCTGTCCATTTAACTTTGTTAAGGATTAACTATGTAAACACAATATAAGTCTATGTGATGGAATTAGAATGCCACCTGCTTACATCAATGTCAAGATATTATATAATCTACATATTTTTTAAGATCTTGTTATATTACAATATAAAGAATACTTGGTATTTGCCTATAATTTAAATAATGTACATAATTGGTCTTCTGTCCATGTTAAGCACCATTGTTAACTGAAATTATCAAGTCCGGGGCCATAAATGTATTTTTGCTCAACTCAAGTCGTGCTCAAATTTTAATCACTAGGGCTGTAAATAAAACATTGATAAACATTTCTGCAAAACAAAGTTTCAGGTATAATATTTTCACTCTTTATCAAATTCAATTGTGTCAACAAATTTCGTTTTACTAACTTCATTAAGATTTTATTTTGGCTGTATTGAAATTTGTTTCTAATCCAAAAATGTTATTTATAAAGTCCATAAATATATGCAGAAAGGTTCCCATTGATACCTGATCTAATAAAAATGGATTTCAAATTACACTGAAATATGTATTGCAGTACAATTCTAGGCTGCAAAGTGAAAAATGTGGAATATTCGATATAGTAAAATATTACACATAATCCAAAATATGCATTGAAGATGAAGTTATGATGGGCATGGGGTTACTTAAAACCCAAGAAATGTCTTTAGTTAAGTAAAAAAAAAAAATGTTTGCTGGCTCAGATTTACTTAAACAGATCTAAATCTGCCTATTGCAGGTCTTTCTTTAGGCCTTAAATGTTATATAAACTATGAATTATACATTTATTAACATGGCAAGCACATAATAAAGCAGATTAGAATGGTTCGGCCATTTAATGATTTAATTTAAAGATGGTGAAGTGAGGCTAAGCCTTGAACAACCAGTACGGTGGTTAAATCAGTGCCCACATCTTGTCAAACAGAATAAAGTAATTTGAATTGCATTTTCAATATATTCATTTTGCATTATTTATTTTTAAACTATTATAACAAGAATGGCCAGCTCTTTATCTAAATCTTACATAAAGTATCTTTAAATATCATTGAATCACCATTTGATTTTAGGAAAAGTTTTTGTAAAGAAAACTTCTCACACCGCATGTTTTGGCAACTTATCACAAAATAATGTCTTAAAAAGTCCAATGTACATATTGCCTCTCTGTGGTAAAAAAAAATCTTTGTTATTATGTGAAAATGTTCAATTGCATACAGTCATCAAATTGGTAATGTAGCTCCTGCTGTTTTAGATGCTGCAGCGTAAAAAACTTTGGAGAAAAACTTTAATCCTGTCTGTCCTCCGGGGATATAACTGACAATATACCTGGTAAATAAAATAAAAATATGTTTGAAGTGAATAATACAAAAAACAAGCCAACAGTGAGGCTGATGTCCTTCGCCGAAATAAAAAAAACCCCTCAAAAACAGATGACACATATCAATTAATTAATCATTTATCTTTTTCAAAAGTATTGAGAAATCAAACTGATTATCTATGCTTAGTCTAAGCATAAAATGTTCATTGTTCACCATGAAACCCAGATTTTGAAGTATCTGGTAGTGAGTAAAACTACTGGTATACACTAAGTTTTATCACTCTCCATCAGTTAGAATCAAAGTTATCTTGTCCCAAAGCATCGACCAAAGAAATTGCTTAGCTCTGCTTAGCTTTAACGGGAAATATTATTAATCATTGAACACAGTCAAGACATTCGCCCAATGAACATCTACATCAAGTTTAAACATTCTACCTCAATTAAAAGCAGAATTGTTATGTTCCAAAGTCTTGACCAATCAAATTGTTTATTGCTACTTAGCCTAAGCAGAAAATTCTCATCATTGATAAGTTTTCTATTGCCTCAATTAGCTGTCTGCTAGCTTACGATTGTGCCGTGGCTTTTTTGGTAGTAAGTTAGTTGTAAATACATGTAAATCATTTGAATATATGGTCATAAATATTGAAATAAACCATATTAATACGTGGACATGAATATTAAAATTCATTAAAACATATTTCCCTTTATTTCATTAATAATCTTTAAGTTCATGGCAAGTAAGCCTGAGACACCCCCTCATTTGCCACAATGGAAACAATAATGCACATTTCATAGAAGACTTTGGATTGGCTAGTACACAATAAACTGTTTACATTCAGCCAATTAAATACTGGCTTCCACATAGATACAGTTTGCTCATTACTTCCTGTCGAAGTGAAAGATTGAAATGACAGTATCAATACAGTATCAACAAGCTAACAGTGAGGCTGATGTCCCCCACCGAAATCCCAAAATAAATAGATGACACATATTAATTAAAAGCACATTCATTTTTTTCAAAAGTATTAAGCAATCAAACAGATTATCAACTATACACTAAGTTTCATCACTCTCTATCAGATAGAATCAAAGTTATCTTGTCCAAAAGCATCGACCAATGAAATTGCTTAGCTCTGCTTAGCTTTAGCTCGAAATGTTAATCATTGAAATCAGTCAAGACATTCACCTAATGAACATCTACATCAAGTTTAAACATTCTACGTCAGTTAAAAGCAGAGTTGTTATGTTCCAAAGTCTTGACCAATCAAATTGCTTATCGCGCTTCAGTCTAAGCAGAAAATTCTCATCATCGAACTTAGTCAATGTAATGATATAATGAATCTATACTCGGAGTTTCATCACTCTCACTTAATAAAACTAAAGTTATCGTGCCCCAAAGCATCAACCAATCAGAAAGCAGACAATGTTTATCATCAAACTCCATCAAGGCATTCACTTAATGAACATTCTAGCTCAATTAGGAGAGTTATTGTGTTCCAAAGTCTCTGCCAATCAAACTGCTTATCGCTCTGCTTACCCTGAGCAAAAAAATGCTCATTATCGAACTTAGTCAAGGTAATGATGTAATCGAACTATACACCAAGTTTCATCACTCTCGTTTAATTAGAACTAAAGCTATCGTGTCCCAAAGCATCAACCAATCAAATTGCTTATCTCTGCTTACCCTAAGCAAAAATGCTCATCTTTGAACTCCATCAAGGCATTGACCTAATAAACATCTACACCAAGTTTGAACATTCTAGCTCAATTAGAAGGAGAGTTATTGTGTCCCAAAAAGTGTGACGAACAGACAGACAGACCCATTTTAATAGTCCCCTGCTTTTTTTGAAAGGCGGTGAAACAATAAAATAAGGATGCTTAAAATAGGGTTGGTCTCACAATGATTCTTTATTGCTTCTATTGAGTATTTTGATAGTTTCTAAGTCACGCAAATATAGAGGGCAAAAACGCAAAATTTTGGAATGTCTGTGTATTTTTACACAACTCAAATTTGATCCACTGCGACTTCGGCTCCCAGGGCCTAACCCTCATTTTTTCCAGTGACAGTAAAGTAACCTATCACTATTTACAACTTAATCGGAGCAAAATGTACTTGAATTTCAGAAACTATTATAGAAAGTAAACCTTAACCAGGCAAGAAACTGGTCAAGTTGTTTATACTAAAATTTAACAAAAGCTGTCATTACATTAACTAAATAAATCATAAAGAACAAATACTAACCATATTAAAGCTGTTATTTGAGCAGAAGCAAACACTATTGTTAATACAGTTCTGTGAACCTAATAAAGAATACAATATATATATGGCATGAATACATTTCAAAACATCTATATTTCAAAAAGCTAACAGTCAGACTGATGTTCCCCGCATGAATCCCAAAATAATAGATTACATTTATAAATTATAAATATTTTTATAAAGCATTGGGCAAACAAAATACTTTCCACTGTTGATGCAATGAAACTACATGCATATTCATCTCTCTCACTCGATTAAAATCAGAGTCCAAAGCATCAGTCAAGATATTCACTTCATGATCGAGCATCTACACAAAGTTTGAAATTCTCCCTCAATCAGAAGCAGAGTTGTTGCATTTCAAAACATGTGAAAACCAGACATAAGCCATTTTTATTGATCACTAGCTTTGTAAGGAACGCAGGGACAACAAACCATAGGATAACAATAAAGATGTTTCTGAATCTGTGCATGGAATAATCAAAGATAGCATCAGAGGGAAAACAAGTTCTTCCCTTTTTATACACCCACATTTTCATGTTGACGTATTATACCGTCACCCCTGCCCGTCTGTATGTCCACAGTTTGTTTGTGGACACTCTACAGGTCACAATTTTTATCCTATCTTAATCCCAAAGATCTCGGTTCCTTTTGCTGTTGGCATGTATTGGACCATAACTTCATGGATTATGACCTCTGATTGTACGAATAATTACGTTTCTAGCTTGTGGACACTCTAGAGGTCTCAATTTTTATTTGATTTTGATGAAACTTGAAATACACGTTTATAACCCAAAGATCTTGGTTCCTTTCGATATTCGTGCATATCGGATTGTAACTTCCTAAATTATGGGCCTTGCTTGTACGAAAACTCGCATTTTTAGCTTGTGGTCCCTCTAGAGGTTACAATTTTTATCCGATTTAAAATGGTGAATATATCACCGTTACATCCTAACGATGGTTGAATTTCAATTTCGTGAAAATCAGACTAAAACTGCATGACAAAATGGCGGCTCCTTGTACGCAAATAGTGTAAAAGTGTGTCATACCAAGGTTGTGGACTGTGGACTCTCTAGAAGTCACATTTTTATCTGATTTTGATGAAACTTAAAATCTATGTTTATGTCCCAAAGAAGTCGGTTCCTTGTGCTGTTTGCGCATATTGGTCCTTAACTTCCTGGATTACAGCCACTGATTGTGCGAAAAATCATGTTTTTTAGTTTGTGGATTCTCTAGAAGTTACAATATTTTATCTGATTTTAAATACCATTTAAATACATATATATCACCATTCTACCATAATGAAGGTTGAATTCGAATTCTGGGAAAATCGAAATTAATGCCTGACAAAAATTATGGATACTCTTTGTACACAAACAGCAGTGTACTAAAAGTATGTAATACGAAGGTTATGGACACACTAGAGGTCACAATTTTTATTTGATTTTGATGAAACTTGAGATGTAAGATTAAAATCCAAAGATCTTGGTTCCTTTCAATATTCGCACATATCAGACCATAACTTCGTAGATTGTGGTCCCTGATTGTACGAAAAATCACTTTTGTTTATATATTATTCCATTGAAAAGGATCTAATGTAACATACTAACCCATAATGCAAAATATAAAGTTGCAAACATTGATCCAAAATATGCTAATGTAAATGGTATCCTTGGTCCAGAAAGTAGGTGTTTCACATGATGAACAGGACCCCATAAAAATGAAAAACTGAAATGGACAAAGTTTAATTATTTTCCTTAGTCAGGAATAACTTAAGAAATATTGACAATCTCTGAAACTCAAACTTTTCAGTTTAGATCAAAATAAAGTATTGAATCTGATGTGTTATTTCGGTGATAGGGCAAGCTCTTTATGATTAAGTTTTTGTTGTGAAAGATAAAGCAGAAGTAGGCTTGTTGTACTTATTTTGACATCCATCATCCCACAAAACAAATGGACAATTTTGATTTTGACCCAAACCAACGGGGTCTAGTCATTTTAAAATGTTGTTTAAATGATACGTAAAATAGATGAACTAATATTTGAATTTTACCATCGACCTTATAACACATGTCAATGGGAAGCATTTGAGACTTTTAAAAGACTTGCTGGCATTAATTTCCGACTTACTATATAAGTTGGAATCACAGTGACTCTGTTTTGTATGTACATGTACATGCCATGCATATGCCAGACATTTCCATCTAGATTGGCAGAATTTTAGTCGCAAATAGGGTGAATCAAACCTCAAAATACGGTGAATCAAACTTAAAATTCCAAAAATATAACTAATCTCAAATATCTTTAATTGTTCAAACCAATTACCGGTACATTTTACAGTGTTATACACTACCCTTTTATTTTTTGGCTGAAAACAATTCCAATTTCTCCTTTGTTCGACATTTTAACCCCTTGATGTCAGCCTATGGCAGATAAAAACAAATCAGAGATGTCACCTATCCTAAAATATTAATAACTTAGCAATCTGACAAATTCAAAGTAGAATATTGTTTGTGTAGTATTGCACCAGCCTTCTCACACTTGAGAAATTATTTTGATTTTCTATGTCTTGTTGTTTTTTTGCTTTCCTAATACTTTCAGCCTAAACTGTTTTTGTAACTCTATGCCATCTTTTATGCATTTCATGAGGTTGTGAATGACAAAGTGAGCTGATGAGTATGTTTTGATCCCTGGCACTTGCAACTTTTACTACAATGCTGACAGAATATACAAACAACATACCATGATATAACAAACAAACTTCCCATAGTATACAATGCTGCAAATTTCCTGGATTTGAAAACTAACATAGGAAGGTAAAGTGAAGCCTGAAAATAATACCAGTAAAACAATGAAGGTGTACATGTACTTATATTGAAGAAATTATCTAATATATTCATTAAAAATAAACTTTGTAAGAATAAAGAGATCATTTAACTCATTAATTACTACATGTACCACATGTATTACGTCATATAAACACGACAACAAGTGAGGCTGATGTGCCCCGCAAAATTGAAAAAGTATTTATATGACACACATTTTTTAATAGCATTTTATCTTTTTATAAAGAATCCATAATTTTGCTTATCAGTGCTAAATGTGAGCATTTTCACTCAATTAGAATTAAAATTGTTGAGCTCCAAAGTCTTGAAACTATACCCAAAGTTTCACCACTCTCAAACCATTAGAAACATGGTTACCATGTCCCAAAACAACTTAGTCAAGTTATTGATGAATTGAAACTATAGGAAATGCACATTATCGAACTTAGTGAATTGGAATCAAAGTTTTCGAGCTCCAAAGTCTCGACCAATCAAATTGCATATCACCCTTAGCCGAAAATGCTCATTATCAAACTTAGTCCTCCCACCCATATCGTTTTAATGTGTAACAATACATTATTATATAATATCATATACCAGTGACAGTCAAGATTTGCTAAATACTTTTCGCCGAGTAACACCGCGTTAGAATACAGTTCTAATCTTTTAGCGCGTTTCCGACCAAGCGAATTACCGTTAAGCGCACTGCGGAGTGATTTATGGCGCTGTGCGTTACGGATGGTTGATTTAGATTAACTGAAGCTGCGAGTAATGGAGTAATGTGAAAAAGATCATCGTATATAATTTAAAGTTTGGATTTGATAGCAGACAATAATTGATGGATTACATCTAAGTTATAGACGAAGATGAAATGATACGTTTAAAAAATTGTAAATTGTTCATAGTTTGCATACATTTTGGCCCCACCCACGTAATGCATGTACAATGCGTTAGAGAAAAATTCTAACTGATACAGAATGCCGGTAAACGTTTTCCCGGGAATACCTAACTCATTTTGTTGTTTTTCAAACCTGCCTGTACATTATGCATGTACACGTTTTCACGGCAGCTTTACTATATTACAACTCCTTCAATTTATTATAGACAATATTAGTTCGACCCTAGCTTATGGTAGGCTTGCAAATTCCTGGCGGAAATCATGGCAAGGCACGGTGTATGCTTAGCGAAACACAGTGGATTCCTAGAGAAACACAGTGAATTCCTAGAGAAACACGGTGAATTCCTTGAGAAATTCACTGCGGAATCTAAGAGAATTCGGAGTGGTTTTTTTCACTGCGTCGCCGTGATTTTGGTCCAAACAATTTGGGAGGAACTGAAATGAAAACCATAACCAAGTTCCATCAGTCTGACTTAATTAGAAGCAAAGTTATTGTGTCCCAAAGCATCGACCAATCAAATTGCGTAGCCTAAGCAGAAAATACTCATTCAGTTAAAGCATTCACCAAAAAGTGTGACGGACAGACAATTCTACAAAAAGATCTCATGCCGGAGGGAAGTTTATTATGTATAAAATAAGAGCGAGAATATTTTTCCTATACAAACTTACTTACCAATGAGAAACAAAAGGTACCCATTAACAGACAAATAATAAATCCAATAATTCTTTGCTTTTTGCTCTGAAAAACAAAAATAGTTGTAAGGTTATAAGCGATAAATATACATGTATTTCTAATAACATTAATGTTTGTTTCTACAGTACATGCAAATTATTTGACTTACAGTCATTGAAAGTTAATAATTTAACAAATTAATCCAAGAACTCAAGAACTGCTTTCATGTGAAATTCAAACATGGCTGTGTCACAGCTAATTTATTTTTTATTACACTTTTATAAAACTCACCCCTGGTAATTAACACACCGTATCTACAGATTTTAGCCAAAAAATTTGGGACGAACTGTAGGTAGGCTTGCATTGAGATTCTCGTACAAACTTACCAAACTTGGAAGGAGAGGGTCCTTTTGAGCTTGTTGGAACCAACCATTTGCGGAATCATTGGACACCATATCCTCGTCTTCCGTTGGCCTTCGTAGGAAACCCATTCCAGGTATTTTATACTTAGATTTATTTGACGATCCATCGATTAAAGGCTGTGTATTAGACGATCGTGATAAATAATCTTTTAAGTTTTTACTCAAGTCTGCCATGTTGACAAGTCAAGTTTTCTATATAATGCACAATCTTTAATTTTACGAAACGAAATCCGCTACATTTTCTATAACAGTTTATCTTTTAAAAAAACAAATTGAGATATAAGTATGTACATTAGGTTCGTTTGTGAATTTAACAATAACAAAGGTTACCTTTATAGTTTAATAGATATTTCTAAATAAATTTTACAATGTAGACTTCTTTTATACAGTTCCTAAAATTGTAATAACCATTCAAAACTCGGTCAAAACTAGCAGTTTGCATTTGTATAAAACGAAGTCACTATAACACATTTTGAACTTTTCTTGATATTTCTGTTGGTGTTGCTCGTGTTTAATACTGCTTCCGATATTATTCTCGTCAATTTATTTGTCAATTCTCTATTAATTTACAATGGCATATTCTACATCTATTTATCCTTATATAGGATTCTCGTAATACTACGTTTACCAAACTAAGATTCTAAATTGGAAAATTGTTATTGTTTAGCATCGGCCCAACCATCATACAGTGTTTTTTTTTATATTCTAACTTTGGTTGACCTGTTGGGACTAGCTGATTTGCCAATACTATTATATAAAATGTTATAAAATCTCAAAAGGCACAATCAACATGTCTATTATCGTATAAAAACGTAGGAAAAAAAAAAAAAAAAAAAATATTTGGCGGGTCTTCTCGAGGTTTCTTTCTTTTCTTATATCACTTTAAATAATAATTCTATTGCAGGGAATGATGATTCCACATATTGGTAAGAATTCAAAACTTCGCTGTACGGACACTATTGTGCGAATACATGAAACGGAAATAAAAATGTGACAAACTGTTTAAATGTAACATTAAGTTAGTTACAAATTCCGCTAATAAATTGCAAGAAAATGTCCCAAAATTTGTGTTAGTTAACTTACTACTGATTTGTCATTATATTATTTTTTTTTATGAAATCTTAATGTTATAAATCTGAAAAGGCACAATCAACATAAAAACGTAAAGAGTATTATCAAGCTTCAAAGTGCTAGAAAGAATTTATTTGCCTGGGTCAACTTTCTTTTCTCATCGCTTTGTCGGGAATTTCGGAAATAAGAATGTCCCAAATTGTTTAAATGTAACATTTAACAAATTGACTTTTTAGTTCGCTTGCCGTTGGTTTAATCTGTGAAAAATGGTAAGAAAAATGTCCCAATTTTTTTTTTATTTATTTGCAGCGCCTCTCCCGGTAACAACTAGGGCCGGTGGAAGCAATTATTGATTTGGGGGGGGGGGGGCTACCACCCTAGGACTTTAGGAGAGGATCCAAGGTTGTGGACATTCTAGAGGTCACAATTTTTATACGATTTTGATGAAATTGACAATGTATAACCGAAAGATCTCGACATTTTTAGCTTGTGGACTTTCCGGACCTCACATTTTTTTATTTTATTGTCACAATTCCGTTCAAAAATATCACCGTTACACCATAATTACGGGTGAGTTCAAATTTCGTGAAAATCGGACCGAAAATGCCCGACAAAATGGTCGCTACCCATGTAATACCCATAGTTGTGTGCCATCCGCCATCCAGATGTTCGAATTTTCATCCAATTTTGATATATCCCAAAAGTCTGGGTTCCTTTCGATAATGGCGTGTATTGGACCGTAACTTTCAGGATTATGATCCCTGATTGTACAAAATATCACGTTTTTAGTTTGTGGACCCTCTTTGAGGTCACCATGTTTATCTTATTTTCAAAACCGTTGAAATATCTTACTTTTATTTCATTCTTGGAAATGCACCCGCGTTTGTTTTTTTTTTGTTTTTGTTTTTGTTTTCTTTGTCAAATATCGCATATTGTTATTTATGACATGTACATAATTATGTATTTTGTATGCTGTCCACAATGGATGTTTCGATAGAATATAATCTTATCTTATCTTATCTTAATAGTATAAGCATGTAATGCCAAGGTTGTTGACCATATCTAGAGGTCAGACTTTTTATCCGATTTAGATGAACTTAAAACGAGTATCACTAGCCCTTGGGTGAGTTCAATTTTGGTGCGCGTGTGAAATAGCTTTATTTAACGCCCGCTTCCACCGAAGTGATATCGCAGACAAGTTGGTGCGCATTTATTTGTCCCCCCCCCACGCCTTTTAAATTACGCAAAATGTGAAATATGAATGAAGTTTGTGGACCTTCCCGAGGCTACAATTTTTGTCCGATTCATGAGATGAAACTTAAACTATGTGTTAAGGATGAACCGTTCTTATATCATGCATAATTACACCATGTCCCATGCTCGGTTACCCAGTGTACTCATTCCGTTCTACTCCACTACACCCTGGGTTAATCCATGGGGTTTCCACGATTTCAAATTATCTGCCCTGGCCTATAATGTAGCTACAGTCTACGAACCAATCAGAAAACAGTTTACAAACCAATCGTTTCGCCTTCGTTTTTATAAGGGTAGATAACTATATTCATGTTCATTTACTGAATGATATATGTAAATAATGTATATATTTATAATTTATTTATATTTAATTGTATTATCAAAATCTGTAGTATGTGTTGTTGATTTCAACTATGTATAACATCTATATGTTTGACTTTTGTTATTATTATTACTATTCGTTCTTTGTCTGAAATATGTCATTCTGTTATGTTTATTATTATTGAACTTATACTTGGCAATTTGATTCACCATCACTTGTCTACGATATCGATATCACGTAGACATAAAATTCCGGGAACGAACAAACGGTTCTAAATAAAACTAATGACCCTACATTATTATGTGAACGTCTGGTATTCATTAACATAATATATAATGTGTTGTTAATAATTACGCATTTAGAATAGGCCAACTACTAACATTGTCCGATGAGAGTTACTCCCCTTTGCCAACTTCCTTTTCATATAACAATTTATGGGATTGGTCGATAAAAATAGCACAATTATCAAGGGCGGATAACTTGAAAACGTGTCTCACTCATAGATTAACCCAGGGTATAGTGGAGTAGAACGGAATGAGTACACTGGGTAACCGAGGATGACCATGTCCAGGATCTGACTAGACACATCTTTAGGCCTAGTAGTAGTATCGTTAATGTAATGTGATATGGGTGTTAGCAAACTGAATATTGGATCTGGTTCATCTGACAATAATCCAAAGTCTGATATACCATATACTATTTATGACAAAAATGGGGACCGACGGAAACAGCTATTAAACAAAGACGAGCCTTCTAAATAGCCTCCGAGATTACCCTCACTTCATTTAAATTCTCATTCTCTTTTACCGGTATTTTATCTCCGTTCATTTAGGGCCACAGTGACACAAGTCTTTTGCCGTAGCCGAAGAGTTACATTAACAATACGCCATCTAACGGAGTAACAGATCATTATGACAGCTGAGTGAGATGATAACACTAACAGTAAAGTTTATTACAGTAACAGAACGATATGAAACCCTTTATCCGCCTAAATGTCTGACGATTTTTATGACATAATGTCACACACAGCAGACCGTCTTCGTCTCAAAGATAAGATTGTGTCGAATGTGGCAAAAGCAATAAAAGCAGTAAGTAGGTTTTATGATACAAAACTGAACAATTTTTTACGTCAGACGTAAAATAATTATTACAATACAAATGTCACATGACCCTTGTGTGACCACTTTATCTTTGAACTTGTAGTACACAATGTCCCAAACCTTTGTAACATACCATACATGTATTCGGCCAATGTTATCATATTATTATTATAGTTTAAACATGATGGCAAATCAATTTTGATTTTAAATTATATCATATGAATGACATTGCAGAACTGAGAGAGATGTCTAGAGTAAGCTTATACAGTATAATATACTGTAGTATTAGTCGATAACTTTAAAGGGACAATAACACTCTTGCTGGGTTAACAGCTCCAGAAAATAAAAAAAAGCCCTATTCTAAGTACTACTAGATGTGTTAGTCACTTTTTAGTGTCCTACCTGTTGTGTAAATTATCCATTAAATCCTATTTTACTTGTCCAGAGGGTTCAAAAATATTTTTAAATCCAAGTAACATTTGAAAAGCTTTACATCAGGCTTTTCTAATCATTTAGTTGAATTTTTCCAATTTTTTAAATTAGGTGTGTTAAGATGAAATTTGTATCGTCAATTAATTGGAATATTGTAAAATAGTACAATTTGTTGACCAGAATAAAGATTGGGACATATCATTCAGTTACAACAAGAGTGGTATTGAGCCTTTAATATAAATGTTGTCTTGCATAATTAGACCACTGGTAATGTTATATTTGGCCTGGGGGGTTGGATGGCTGAATGGTTAGCGTGAGCGCGCTGTATCATAAAGTCTGTCATTGAGTCGACTGGCGTGGTTTCGAATCCCCGGTTTGTACGTGGCATGGAGTAGAGTCGCCTGTCCAACCTCGTGGGTTTTCTCCGGGGGCCTCCGGTTTCCTCCCACTGCTAAAGACCCCTACGCGCAAGCGAATTATGTAAATAAAATTAAACCATATGTTAGTCCCGAAATGACCTAGTTTGTGTCGAGTGGACTTTAAACCCCATTTCTCTCTCTCTCTATATATTTGGTCTGATTTCATCATTTTTTTTATTTTATTGATGACTGGTGAAGCAATGAATACCTGATTTCTAAATGGTCATTAAGCTTATTACTTTCATCAATGAAAGTTCAATTGTAAGATCTTATAAATTTATCATACATGTCATTATAAATAGTGCCTAAATGTCATATGAATTCATTCCTACAATCTCTTGAGAATCATCTTTGACTTAAGATGTATCGGGGCCTGATTCCTAGAAAATTCTGAAGCACGTTCTTGTGCTTAGATTTAAGTAGACTTTGCATTTAAGTAAACTTACCTTATTTTGTGTTCCCAGAAAACTCTTAAGAACGTTCTTGTGCTTAGATTTTAAGTAGACTTCATTGTAAGCACAAGAACGTTATTATGCGTTCCAAGAAAAAACTTAAGCACAACTTCGTTTTTAAACATAGTCAATCTAAGCAAGGTATACGGCTTGCTTACCAACCTTAAGTCTGTTTCTGCTTCAAAAAGATGGCTGACCGTAGAGTTATTCGACGGCATTTCCGACACTTTTTGATACCAAAGAGACAATTACAAGACAGAGAAAATCCTTCTCCAGAAGAAATTTCAAATTAAGAATGCTATAGAAAATTTCGCTTCTATAGGCCTACCCTGAAACCATTTTATTTATTTGCCAATTAGTAAACAATAGGCTACAAACACACAGGCTACTTTAAGATCAGGCGCTCTAACAATTATTCAGTTAGTTTGTATGTGTCTGCGTTTTTTTTATCTTGTGGCACATTTTATATGTGAATAGGGAACATGTCAAATGCATCGAAATGAACGATATATGACGTCAATGAAGCAGACGACAAATTTAAGACGTAATTCGCATACCAAAGTTGTTTTTATGACGTTAAAGAGCATCGTAGTCTCAGTTTATGGTAAACTTTACCATTCACAATGTGCTTAGACTTATACTTGACTTGTACTTTCGTAAGAATGGTCCTGAGAATTTTCTAGGAACGGTATTTTTATAAGTTTCTTACGTAAGAAAAAGTGAAGCATGACTTTGTGATTACTTTAACAATTTTCTTGGAACCAGGCCCAGGAACAGGCGTTCTGCTTCGCTTTTGCCTATTATTACATGTCCTTAATATCCCTTCTTGATGTACACTCTCATCAAGAAATGTAATTATATTTGAATTATATCATTTTGAAAATAAACTTAGATTTGTCTTATTATTGAAAGTCCAAGTACTAAGCTACTTACTCCAGCCACGTGGATTTTCTCCGAATCCTCCGGTTTCCTCCGACTGTTAAAGAGCCCTATGTGCAAGTGAATTATTGAAATAAAATTCAACCACATGTTAGTCCCGAAATGACCTAGTTTGTGTCGAGTGGAGGTTAAACCTTATCTCTCTCTCTCTGGCAGTGGTCATTCATGATTCCTGTGGTGGTACTGAACAACTCCAAAGCTGTTTTAGGTGGTACAGATTTGAGCTAATCTAGCCTAGCTTTGGTCTGGAAATTAGATAACCCTTGTCAGGGATACTCCATCACTACAAATGTCTGGCAATTACATAGCTCTGTCAGGGGTACCCCACCACTAGAAATGTCTGTCAGAGTGTTTTTGTAATACCTGAAGATGTACGGTACATTGCTGTGCGATTATGATGTGGTACACTTTTGAGCTAATCTAGACTAGTTGTGGGGCAAGGCATTTTGGGCATGGAATACTACATCACCACCAGAAACCCGGCAGACTTACATTCTGATGATACCAGATACACATACATTGATACCATATAGGAGAAAATTGGTACACTTTTCAGCTAGGTTAACCCCCTGGGCTCCTGCTCTAATACTCTTAACTTAATAAAACCATTGGCATCATTTACTTACACAAGTTACAGTTACTATGCTAGAAAATATTGATCTTCCTCAAATTTCATGTTGTGATTGTTATTGATTTGTTTGATGTATAGATTCAACAGTATCAGTATTCCTATGGTGAAGAAGGACTAGTGTTGACTAATACAGATTGGCAGTGTCATAAACTGTGTGAAAACCTAGATCATGCTCTATTACATGGGTGAGTAAAACATTATTTATTTATAAGTTAGGTTAATTCCATTACCTTTTACCATTTACTGGTAATTTGTATTTGACTCAATAAAACAAAGTCTGAAAAAAGAAAGACCTTTGGTTAAAGTTTCAAGATCCCCCCTCCCCACATTTCAAATTGTTATTGTTATTTAATTTATAAAACTATTCAACAGCAATATGGTTTTTTTCTGCTTTTGCAAAAGGAGCATTTTTTTCAATCAATCATCGTCATGAGTAAATCTTTATTTCTAACTTTATTTCTAAGATTTACTCATGAAGATGATTGATTGACAAAAATGTCCATTTTGCATTATGAACTATAATAAAATTTCTAAGATTTACTCATAAAAGATGATTGATTGACAAAAATGTCCATTTTGCATTATGAACTATAATAAAAGCAGACAAATCATTTAAACAAACTAATTTATGTGACACTTCGTGTGTTGTTAATTATTATTATTACTTGAGGCATTAGGATATAATGGTTACATAATATTGCTTACCTTGTATATTATTACTACTGAATATATCATCACCATTAATTATTTGATATGGCAATCTGACATCGATCTATGAAGATCATTAATTGCATAATAATAATTTTAATTAACAAGGTAGTAAAAGTTGTATGTAAGAGATCTTGTGCTAAATGGTAAACATGCCAGAATAAAAGGTTGACTGTGATGTAACCATTGTGGAAACATGCATTAGACAACCAACTAGAGTACAATAAAAGCCAGATCTAATATTTAGTCAGACTATATTAGCCCAAAAACATTTTGAACACAGAATCAGTTATATCACCGCATTAGCTTTATTCAGGAATGTAAACTTTTGGACGAAGACAAATTTTCTTTTCTCAAAACAGATAAACATGTAAAATGCAATCCCACTTTTATTGTTCTAGGTTACGCCATATTACTAATGGGTATTGGAGAGTCATTACAGAGTATACAAGAAAGGGAACTATTAAAGAGATAGAAAGATTAAATAAAGTGACAACAGATTTAGGTCGAGGTCAGTGACAATTTACTGATTTCAAATTTATAATTATTCAAAATATTGTTCTGTAATCTATATTGTATTGGCAATTATGATTATCTTTACAAAATGACACTATTTACTGACCATGGTTTAAACATACATTATGCAAGAGCTAAATCTGATTATCGCAAGTCTTTATTTAGGCTTCAGATGTCATAGAAATTATAAATTAGATCTTTATTTACACAACAAGCACAAAATCAACTCTGTAGACCCACGGATGGCTTGGATTTAAACTGGATTTCATTGATTGGTTAAATTTTTAAATGGCGTCGTAAGCGGAGATTAACCGTTACGTTGACGTCATACTCCCGGAAATTTTAGATCAAGGCTAAATGATAGAGTGTACAAAGCGAGGCTGCTGCCGCTGTTGAGCAAAGCCGCATGTCAGGCAATTTGATTGAAAGTTCGATATATACGGCCTTGATATTATGTTTGTTGTGGTTAAAATAAGAGTTTGGATGTCGGTATTATACGACGCTCTTTTGTCACTTGCGTTTACAGAAAAACTATGGAAATTGACAACCAACAACCTAAAAAAAAAAAAAAAAAATTATTGACACATTATGGGACAACCTTAAAAACAAATTTGAAGGTTGTCGGATTATTGACGGATTGATTTTCTTAATTTCTTTTCAAGCATTGTTCAAGATGCTTTGTTAATAATAATAATAATGATATCTTTGCATAAACAAAATGTACTTAGATTGCTACACATGTAGCAGTAGTAATAGTTAATTAACTGTGAATATATATAGTATACTAGTAGTGATTACTGATTTATTAATTGTCCCCAGTCTTTCGAAGTGTTTGTCTGTCTGTCTGTCCGTCACACTTTTTGGGACACAATAACTGTCCTTCTAATTGAGCTAGAATGTTCAGACTTGGTGTAGGTGTTTATTAGGTCAATGCCTTGATGGAGTTTGAAGATGGGCGGATATATGAAATTTGATTGGTTGATGCTTTGGGACACCATAACTTTAGTTCTTCTTATTAAGTGAGAGTGCTGAAACTTGGTGTATAGTTTCATTACATCAATACCTTGACTAAGTTTGATACTGAGCAGAGCGATAAGCAATATGATTGGCCAAGACTTTGGAACACAATAACTCTCCTTCTAATTGAGCTAGAATGTTCAAACGTGGTGTAGGTGTTTATTAGGTCAATGTCTTGATGGAGTTCGAAGATGAGCATTTAGGATTTGATACCATTAGTTCTAATGAAGTGAGAGTGATGAACTTTGGTGTATAGTTTTATTACATCAATACCTTGACTAAGTTCGATAATGAGCATTTTCTGCTCAGGGTAAGCAGAGCGATAAGCAATTTGATTGGTCGAGACTTTGGAACACAATAACTTTTATTCTAATTGAGCTAGAATGTTCTCACTCGGTGTAGGTGTTTATTAGGTTAATTCCTTGATAGAGTTCGAAGATGAGAATTTTCTGCTTAGGGTAAGCAGAGATAAGCAATTTGATTGGTTGGTGCTTTGGGACACGATAACTTTAGTTCTAATTAAGTGAGAGTGAGGACACTTAGTGTATAGTTTTATCACATCAATACCATGACTAAGTTCGATAATGAACATTTTCTGCTCAGGGTAAGCAGAGCGATAAGCAATTTGATTGGTCAAGACTTTGGAACACAATAACTCTCCTTCTAGTTGAGGTAGAATGTTCAAACTTGGTCTAGGCGTTCATTAGGTGAATGCCTTGATGGAGTTTTATGTTTGCTTATGGTAAGCAGAGATAAGCAATCTGATTGGTTGATGCTTTGGGACACGATAACTTTGGTTTTAATTAGGTGAGAGTGGCCAAATTCCAAGTATTGATTCATTATATCATTACCTTGACTAAGTTCGATGGTAAGAATTTTCTGCTTAGGCTAAGGAGCGATAAGCAATTTGATTGGTCAAGAATTTGGAACATTAAACAACTCTGTTTTTAATTGATGTATAATGTTTAAACTTGATGTAGATGTTCATTAGGTGATTAACATTTTGAGCTAAAGCTAAGCAGAGCTAAGCAATTTCATTGGTCGATGCTTTGGGACAAGATAACTTTGAATCTAGAGAGAATGATGAAACTTGGTGTATAGTTGATAATCAGTTTGATTGCTTGATACTTTTGAAAAAAATAAATGTGCTGTTAATTAATATGTGTCATCTATTTATTTTGGGATTTCGGCAGGGGACATCAGCCTCACTGTTGGTTTGTTGTTATATTTTATAGGTAGAGCCTGGCTGTATTATTCTCTAAATGAATGTTTATTAGAGAGTTATATTAGATGTTTAACAGATAATGAGAAACAGATGAAGAAATATTATGTTAAAGAAGCACTTGTGCTCGATCAACAGGTAGTTAAATCTTTATGACAGTACGAAACAAGGGAATGGTTGTTTTATAAATACCAAATTACTGGATGATAGTGTCTATTCATCAGATCATCTAGACCCTAGAAGGCACAACGTCCATCGAAAAATAGCTTTTAATGACCATCAGTTAACTAAATTTATGTAGATTTGTCATTGCATATTTAAATTTGATAGATAATCATTATGCATTTTGTGTTCACACTTTTGATTGTATTTTTCAGAGAATGAATGTGTTATTGACTTTAACGTCTGGGCTAGATTTCGTTACATTTCAGTTGGAACCGGTAAGCTTATATTTTTAATATGAATGAAAAAAATGTCCTGTTAGCAAAATATAATTATTTTGCAATACCTGGCTTCCAATGAATCTTTCCTGTAGACACAACAGTTAGGAATCCAGTGTCCTAACCAATCAACTACTGCTCATCCACATAAAATGAATACAGGTAGCCTACAGGTGACAGATAAGAATATATTTTTTTAAAAGTGACATTTAAAATTTCAGTTATTTGTATTGATTTTGATGTTGTCTTTCCAATTTAAGAATTGTCCATATCTGGATCTTGGAACATGCCCACCTAAGCCTGCATCTGATAGACGAAGTTCACAAGATGATAGAGTATCACTACACAGTATGGACAGTATAACATCTTCTAGAAATAGCGCTTTAGAGGTTAGTTAGAAACAGTTTATTTAGCTTCAAATAATATCATGTGATAAATGTGTAAACAGCGATTTAGGGAGTGAAAAAGGTATGCACAATCGCATTAAGCACACTACGCCACCAATCATCACCACAGGTGAAACACATTTGATAATATAATCATGTACATAATCTTTTCATACTCAATTTTAACCCTTTTAATGGGCTATCGACTCATACTGCATACATAAACAAAATTTTTTGCTATGCTACAACAACTGCTTCACTGAATGCCAGGCTTGCTTGCACTGTTCAAGGAATTGTTCCACCCACCTGCTATACATTGGACTTTTGGATTACTCTGAGACTTTCTCAGATTAATTCCCCAATGTGACTAAAGTTCCCTTTTGAAAAGATTAATAGTTTTGTGTGATATATACCACAACTGTGAATTTATTCTTTTCTTTGACAGACATCCACAACTGATTCCTCTAAGATTCTATCTGATAGTGATACTGCCAGTCTAAGTAGCTTAGATACAACAAATGGTAGCACGGATAAATCAAGACAGTGTTCAATATCATACGACTCCGGCTGCCATCTTGATAACTTGGGTATAAGAAGTCGACAAACTAGTGCAACACCGCCTACAGATGCCATTTCCAATTCTAGTCAAGGAGAGCAAGAGTCCCGATTAAAGCGCATAGAGTCTATACCAGTAGCAGAAGATGTTGATGAACTTCAAAATGATTTTGAAATTATTCGAGTGAAATCAAAGAATTCAAAAACGAAAAGTACTAAAAGAAAGAAAATTTCTAAAGTATTAGCGGCTCAAAGTACTACTGTCGACATTGTGTCAAAAGCAGAAGAGAATAACAATTTTTCTGTACATCATACCAATGATATTACTGTGAAAGGCCAGGCTGAGGTCAAAGATTTAATGAATGGAGTGTTGACAGCACAGAATGATTCGTTAGACGATGCAACTAAAATTAAAGACGTGCATATATCTGATTTTCATGATATTCCAAACGGCACAAATATATCAATCATTGAAGAAAATAGTGAAAATGACTCAACTTCTAACAGTGATATAGTTGATAGTCAAATTTTTGAAAATAATAGTGAAAATAACCACAACATTCCTTCAGATCAGGATCAGATACACAATGCGATTAGCCCCGATGTTCAAAATAAAACTTCTCCAAGTGATCAGGAGGATTCTCTAAATAGTTTAACTTCTGTGGAGCATGGCAAACAAGCAGGTGCTGAATCTATAGAAGAATTACCTGTTAATAATGCCAAATCTACCGATTTTGAGGTAGAAGAGGATGTGTACGAACTGTATCATAAATCAACTGACGAATCCAATGATGAATATCTGCCTAGTACTAGTCAACAAAGAAAATCGGCACTGGAAGACTATGTCAAATTTATATCGGGTGAAAATAGTGAATCAGTAGTAGATGGTATTGATACTTCAGGTTTTGGTGAATCTGATCGTGTAGGTAATGAAGACTGTGATACGTCTTCTATTAATGAAGATATTGATTATAATATAAAGTAAGTTGACCACTATTCTATGACACGTTATTCATGATGAAATGGGGTTTAATGTCCTACTGTTCTGCTCCGACTGGGCTAATGAAGATAGGTATATGCCATACACTGTGCTATCAGGGAATTTTTGCCCAGACAGCAGCACTATGTTCTACTCTTATATCCAATTCCAACTGCCAATCTGCCATGGGATCTTTTACGTACACACCAATTAATGTGTACGCAGGACCTAGGTTTTTCGTCCTATCTGAATGACTATACGTTGTCCCTTGTCAGACCCTCTGTCCTGTACCACTGACAAGGGAGCAACCACGCCGGAAAATCCTGATGAACTTTCTCTGTCAATGCAGGGATCGAACATGCAACCTTCAGGTTAGCGAGCCAACGTCTTACTGCTGAACCAACATGGCTCCCTCATTTGCTAGGAGGAACTCCGTGTTGAAAATGTGTTTCTGTGAATTGTTAGGTAATACATCATGTAGTATCTGATCAAAAGACAACAAGAAATTATGATGTTAATAGTCCTGTTAGTGTTAAAACAATTATTGCTATGTACATGTATATATATTTTTTTTTAAAACCAGGTCGGTTTAGTGACCTGTTTGTTTGAATTACTTCCTGTTTATATTTTTGTGGCTGTGGGTTGAGTTATCATTAGACTGAACAAACTCTTGAGATAAGGGCAAAAAACGCTTATTGATCAAGATTATAATATGCATACTCCTCACAGTGTTTCGTTTGATTAGTCCCAATCCCACTCAAACACTGCTGTACTCACCACAAATATCGGTCAATAGTCCAATTAACAACCAATACCTAACTGCGTAACAATATCATTTGGGTTTAAACAGAGCTTCAAATATGTTTACATAACGTTATGTCGTGACTCACAAAATTTAATGTGTAGCAGAATATTGCAGAAAAACTAATTGCGTGACAAACGAGACTATCAAAACAGCTTCAATGTAAAAAATACTGTTTTAGGGAAGACCCTAGATTAAACGATGGGCTGTTATGCTGCTGTACTTTGGAGGCTAGATTTGATTGAATGTGAAGAATAGACACACTCCCTCAAAAGCTCAAGTATCAGAAGTCATCCAGCAATGGGATTTCTCAGACCATTGCTTCAGGAATATGATAATATATGGTTTCTATAACACTCTGTTAATTCTAATTCTGTCAAGATTTTGTGTGTAAATTTGTCTGAGTAGATGACTTAGGGGACTGATTTGTCTGAGTTGATGACCGTATAGGGGATAGAATTTGTACCCATTTTAATTGAGTGCCCACAAAGGCACAAACACTTTTTGCCAATAGTGTAAACTCAGCATTAGTTTTAAAACTTTTATTGGTATTTACTGTCTGTACATGGTGGGATTACTTATATTTTCAGTATTGATAATAATACCATGTTACATGTGATGTTAGAAATATTTCAAGAAAAAGATGAAAACTTTAAAAAGGTAAAAGAATATTTCAGTTGATTTTAAATTTTAGGGTTTGAAAATAAAAGACAATACAACAAGCTGTGAGTTTTCATGGCGACATATAGATGAATAACAGATAATAAAGATATATATAGTATTTAATTGACTTTTTATTTATAATTTCAGTTATTAAGTTGTCGTCAAGGTCAGACTGAAGGAGATGTAATAGTTGTATTTATACTGATAACAGATAGAAGATTATATGTATTACATTATAAAAACGCTAGTAAACGATTTATAGTAGATACATCTGTAGCTTATAAAGATATAGATTTTATAGTGGTAAGTTAATATTAAAAAACATTGGTGTTTAAAAATTTATATTAGATACATTTGTCGCTTATAACGATATAGATTTTATAGTGGTAAGTTAAATATATTTATAAAACTACTAGTCTAGTAAAAGGAGTAAAGGTACAGACCATACTTACAGTGAAAGGATTTTGTTTTGATGTAAAAACCACCATATTTCTGTATTTTTTTTTTAAAACAAAGATTGTTCATGTTTTGTTATGAATTAACTTTCAGCATAGTATAAATTATCAAGTTATAAATGTTGTCTGTGCTAATAAAAGAAAACAGTTTTGGTTAACTACAGGAGATGAAACTCTTTCAAGGTAAGTGTATATCAATTATTTTATCAGATACATTCCATTGATGTGTGGTATATTTTATTCCATAATGTTTTAATCTTAGATCTCTAACCTTTAACCTCTCAAAGTTGCAGACTTGCATCATTTGTCAAAACCTATCATCACTTCAAATACGTACGATCGTCATTTGAGGCATTTCTAATCCTCTGCGAACTACAATATTGTGAAACTGAAAGTTGAATCTAAAAAAGATAAGTTCAAAAATGATTCAATTCCTTTCAGTATTTACAAAGATCTAAAAAGTTAAATCTGTCAACATTTGGTATCCTCTGTGACAATATGAACGGAATACGGTCAAAATAAGTCAGCACAAAAATATTTTGATGGACCTCTTTAATCTGATCGAATCCAATCTGAAGGATTGTTTTCTAATGATATTTTGTTTTCTTAATTGAATGTTATATAATAAATTTCAGTGTACTTTATCATGGATTGAACTGTGCAAAATTAGTTGCGCAAATGACAGATAAATGTAAAAAAACATTGTTCTTTTTGGGCCAGGAGCTGGGTCCCAAGCACTTCTGTAGCAATATGCGTTGCTAGTTAGATGTGGAAAGCCAAATAGCCTCAAAAACTCCCCACATCCAACATGTGATGCATACTCTCTCCCTGCTACACATTTTATTAGCCTTTTGATTGTCTAGTATTGTCTCTGGTTATATTTGTAATTCTCTTCTTTTGGCTAGGACTCACGTTGTGTATTCGTTTTTATCTCAGGCGCTAAGATGCTTATCTACCAGGAACAGCTATGCAACTGTTTGTTTAAACATTTTATATCAACCACTGGATACATAGGTTACAAGCATTTATTCTATAACTACATGCAAATACAAGCAAATATCATTGAATACGGCCATTGAATACAGCCATTGAATAACCTATAGTTGTATTCCATGGCTTGAAAACGTACTACTTTTGTCCAGAATGACGTCACTTACCGAACTACGTCAAACTGTAATGACGTCACAACTAGGCACCCACAATTTTTGTAAAAAAGAAAGAAAAAAGTGTGGAACCTATGATGAATATTAACGGTATTGATAATTTTGTTTTTGATAATCTGGATAGTACAGTGTATTTTGAGATTTGCATGTAGTTATAGAATAAAAACAGAACTCAATGACCATTGAATACCGCTTGGGTTATTCAATGGTTAACTCGAGTGTATACACTCTCTTGAACCATTGAATAACCCGAGCGGTATTCAATGGTCATTGAGTTCTATCTATATATTACAATATCGTCATTCTCTCAATCCCACTCCCATCCAAACTCGCCAGAGTGAATCTGCTGATAGAACTTGCTACATCTTCTTCCTAAAGAATCTGGCGGGTGTCTCCCCTCTAAGAGTCTAATGTGTGTCTTCTATCTAAGAATCTACATGATGTCTACCGATCGCCCAGATCTCTGATGGTTTTCTATGCTTGGGTTTCAGCTTTCAATTATCTAATTGGTCAAATATGACGTAATTAATTATAATTATTGGCTCCCAAGCTTAATGACGTGAGTTCTACCCTTAAAAGGACAGTAGGAACTTTCCTATCATTAGTGATCAGGTGATATTTTGTATTCGCACAGAACCAGCTATGTTTACCAAATTATGACTTTTTTATGTGTCAACCCATCACTCATTCATTTGAGTGCATGAGATGCATGCCTTGTCTATGGATATGGGACCAATTACAAGTCAAGGACATAATATTAATTTAATGCTATTATTAATTTAAACAGCAAAAATCCTTACTACACTACTCATCATTTTCTTCTTTTTGGGGACGACACTCTTCAAAAAAAGCCTAGGGCTTCGCCAATTTAAGATTGATTAACATGAAACTTGGCTTGATTGTTCCTTGAACAATTTGACTTCGATTTTTGATATGACGTCACAATTCCAAGATGCTGGTGATGACGTCATGTTGTACTTTTTTTTATACAGATTAATAGTACAGACAATGTGTGATATCATAGATTCTAGTGATCTCAAGATTAAAAAACTGGCTGTATTTGATGATGCTACAGCTCAAAAAATATGTCTCAAGAAATATATTAGACAGGAATGTCACTGTGAGGTAAGAAACTTATTATATTTTTATGGCTACTCTGAAAGTAGGCATATATTATCATCACCTCTGTCCATTTGTCTGTCTTCCATGCACAGTGTTTGTATATAAACAAACAGAGGTTTTTGATGAAGTAGATAATTATTGCTACATCAGAATGATGTACCATATGAAATATTTAACTCATATATATACATATATATGATAGGTTTATTGTTTGATCATAAAGATGTGCCCTATATAATATTTAAAGATACATTCCGGGGTACAAACTTTGTGATTTGATGATATATTTGGACTAAAAACATATTCAAAGTAACCAATCTATCAAAAATTTGCTTCAATTCCCTCCCAAAACTTTGTGTTCGCCGGGGATACCTATAGCTACAAGTAAGCTGTTGTGAGTTGCAATGTCTGTCAACTTAGCTTTATTGTGGGAGGGTCCATTTTTCAGAATGTATTTATCATTCCTTACTGTGCATTTACCATACATGTACATATTGAGGCTTAAGTAAATTCTTAATTATTTGTGTCAACTTCTTTTTCCGCCATTTATTTGCAATCTTTTGTACGTTGACACCCCTCAATGTTCCCAAAACGCCTAACCATTTGATCAAGAAATAACAACCGCTCCCTCACTTAAGCTGGCACACAGTAAGCTGGCAGATAACAGTCGGGTTGCCAGTTAGTGATACCCTGACAATTTTACCTAGTGCTTGCTGCATAGGCGTTTTTCGGGGGATCCAGTATTTTTCTAGTAATATTGAGTGTCTATACGTTCCTGACAATTTTGCCTAGTGCTTGCTGCATGGGTATTTTTCGGGTGATCCAGTATTTTTCTAGTAAGATTGAGTGTCTATACGTTCCTATATACCAAATTTGACATACTTTTATTGGAAAGAACCACCCGATAAATACTTTTATGGGAAAGTATCTTTAAAGGCTCAATACCACTCTTGTTGTAACGGAATAATATGTCCAAATTTTTATTCTGGTCAACAAATTGTACTATTTTAGAATATTTCAATTAATTGATAATACAAATTTCATCTTAACACACCTTATTTAAAAATTTTGAAAAATTCAACATAATGGTTTGAAACGTCTAACGTAAACCTTTTTAAATGAAACTTCGATTTAAAAATATTTTCGAACCCTTTGGACAAGTAAAATAGGATGTAATGGATAATTTACACAACAGGCAGGACACTTAAACATCTAGTACTTAGATAGAGATATTATTTATTCTCTGGAGCTTTCAAGCCAGCAAGAGTGTTATTGTCCCTTTAACTCATTTAAGTTTATTCTTTGATTATGAAAAAATGTGTCATTATATAATATTTAACTCACTTAGCTTTATCCTTTGATCATAAAGATGTGTCCTCTAAAAACATTTAACTCATTTAGATATTTTGTTAGATCATAAAGATGTGTGCTGTGTACAGTTTAATGTTAAAGTATCTCAATAAAATAGAAGGATATATGAACAGAGAACAGCTATGTGCATATTTAACGTAAACCTCTGTGATTGTACTTGCCATAGTTTATTCATATTGTTTAAAATATTGTAGGTGCACATTTTTTTGAAAATGTCTATTATTTGATTTTTTTTATATTACATAGGTAATATATGTGCCAAATAGTATACTGAAAAGTATTTTTAAGTGTAACTGTTATTTTGCTCTGTTTAAAACTTATAGGAATCAGATGCAATAGCAGAAATCTATTCCTTGGTGTATTGGGAAGATCCACATTCTGGAGAGTCCAAATCAGAAAGTTGTTCTAGAGAAGGAAAGTTATATCAAAGAGAACATGATTCGTTTAAAGGGACAACATGGAGACCAGTTTATGTGATTTTAAGGTAGGAATATTTGATATACAGTAAAACACAAAATTAATGCGAGAAAAAATCTAATCTTATTCATTTTGTTCAGCTACATAAAATAATCTTAGTAACTGGAAACAACATTGTAACATGAGTCGAAAAAAGCCCCACAAGCAGCTTGTCAAAGGCATATGTATGCTGTCGCCCAAATAAATAAGTAATAGTTCATCCATGAAGAAGCTTATGTGTTATAGTATGTCATTAAAACACAACAATAATGTCATTATCTGGTATATGTGTTAGATTTACAACACATCACTTAGTTTAGAATGGTTACGAAACAATGGGTTGGTTTGATTTAAATGCACATTTATATTGATAGCCAATAGAATTTAATTAGTTTCCTGACACATTTATTTATAATGTACATGTACATGATTTTTGTCAGAATTCAAATGTAGCCTATGGCTGGGCAGTCTTAACGAGAATCAAACCTGGCTTAGGCATTTAATCAGGCCATCAGGGTAGGAATTCTCTTTGAATTTGAAGTAGTTGAAATTAATTAGAAAAGATGTACATGTACATGTACTGGGGAATAGTCACACAGTATTGCATAGTTTGTTGTACATTATTGTATACAAATTTATTGTTATGGTGATTTTAATTGTATATTTATATTACAATGGTTGTAAATTGTGTATATTTATATTAGTAATTGCATATTTACCGATATGTAACAGGGACAGTAAATATATGGATATTATTTATACTTATAGTACAGAGACTGTATATATTTATAGTACAGAGACTGTATATATTTATAGTACAGAGACTGTATATATTTATAGTACAAAGACTGTATATTTATAGTACAGAGATGGTATATTGTGTATATTATTTATATTACAGAGATGGTATATTGTGTATATTTATATTACAGAGATGGTATATTGTGTATATTTAACAATAAAAGCGACAGTAAACCTCAGTCCTATTTACGTATGGGTGGAGACCAGTGTGTAGGATGTAGAAGATCACAGAGTAGTGAGAGAGCAAATAGTTTAGAGATAGTATTAGCTAGTGGTGATAGTTGGACACTTTCATCAGATGATCATACAGATTTATCTATGTGGCTTCTCTGTATGTGTCGCGCCGTTTCTGAAGGAATGCAGGTTTGTAAATAATAATATTGTTTCAAATTTCTCTGCAGTGATGAAATTTTCTATGTTTTATTTTTGCTCCAGTCACAACTCAAACTTATTCATTGATTTTACTAATTAATTACATTGTTTTGAAATTTAATTTAAACAATAGAAAGTTAATATTGCTACCCAATTGACTTGCACGAATACCATGCATGTCAGTGACTGCAACGTGGAATTCCCCTTTGGACCAGTTGTTATATATTTATTGTAAGCCACGCCCACTTTTTAAACAACTACCTTGCATCCATTGGAAGATGGTGATAGTTTTGAGGAATGGATTATATTCTGATTATCAGACAATAATTCCAAAAAATCTGATGAGGGAGCAGCTGTTTTTACATGTTGTTTAATGTGAGGTAGTTAGGAGAATGCTTTTGGTTTTTTTAAGTGAAGCAGTGCTGACAACCAGAATTTTTTAAAATGTGGCCTTAACATGGCATGTTTATCATCAGTAACAGAAAAGATAATATGGCATCAGTATCGATTTTTTTATTTTTTTTTAATACAGCCTGATGGAACGCCCTTTAGTTGTTTACCATGTTGTGCTGTAGTCACCAATCAAAAAATATTGATGTGTCATGAAGATGTTCAAACTAGTTTCTTTAGAACCTTGGGTAGTGCCAATATAGAAGAAGTTACAGGAATTACACAAGATCAGGAAAATGATGCATACTGTGTGGTGGTGAGTTTATTTGTTGTATAATTGACCTCTAGGCATAACATATATACTAATCATAAAAGATTATGTTCTTTTCAATATCTGAGCTCTATGCTATAATTGCTATATACCTATGGCACTTTACACAGAATAGCTGTCACAATTGTATGGAATTTTGTTTGAATTAACATCAATTTATTACGCTGGACATATTTCTCAACCAAGTCTAAAAATTTGTTAATTGTATTGGGGAGGAAGAGTTTGTGTGAAAATTGTGATAAAATGATTGTATCTCAACTGTATGCTTGATATTAGATGCAGATTAACAATATTTGGCACCCAACACAACTTTGAGAAATATTGTATCTAGAAAAACTTCGACTCGCCTTATTGTTGAAAATCTCAGCACAGACATCTTGTCATTTTTAACAATAATTGTTCATTAAACTCCTTAACAACCACTGAAAAATGTTTAACGACTTGTAAACTGTTTGTTAAAATGCCCATTTCACTTTAAAGTTTGTCCCAAATTTTGCGTACATCCCTGATGTGACTGTATATAAATCGAAAAACTATTTTCTACCAACCTTGCAGATAAATGTGCTGTTCTCTACCTCATAATTTTGTGATTTCCAGGAATTTGACTCTCAAGATGATACTATAAGTAGTGAAGAATGGGTTCTATATTTTAATTCACCAAAAGAAAAGAAGAAATTCTGTCAAGCTGTATCCGTGTGTTGGACAAGACAGTTTCAAGTTGAACTCCCCATTAATAGTTTTGATAATATAACTCTAGAAAAACGCTGTCAAGAAACTGCTAAGATACTCAGAAATTCCCTCATATTATAGTACTAAAATTCTCAAATTTCCAACAAAAACCACATACGCTTCAACGTGATATCAGTTTTAAAACTGTACACTATGAATATAGACTCTTGTGATCTGATCCAAACTCGGTAGTCAACCGATTAATTCTACGCATCAACCTGCCTTTTATCTGATAAAAAGTTCCTTTTCCAAGTTTTATCTTTACCTAGCATAATGGATAAGGGCATTTATTAATAGTGGGTGTAAAATCAAAATACAAAATACTAAAATGGTCTGGATTATTTTGATTAAAAAAGTATATAGGTATTTAATGGAATTTTGAAATATGTTTTTAAAATTTTAATATCACTTTAGATTTAGTTCCTAAACATATTTTTGAAGGTTTAGAAACGTGCGTGTTCGCTTAAATTTTGAAGGAATGCGAGATTAGATAAAATAGGCCCACTAGTATAACAACTCAACTTCATAAATTCTAAAGTACATGACTGTCATTTAAGAATCTGGGATTATTAATTGCGAAAAAAACTTGAAAATTTGACTGGAAAAAAAATTTGGTCTTTCTCTGCAGATGTTGTGAGATAATGTTGTCACACCCATATCAGACTTTGGCCTATCTCTAGTGGATCCTGACTCCTGGACATGATCGGTCAGTCTCATCATTATAGTGGGATGGCATCCAAACCTTTTGTCGATTGTGAAAACATCCTCCTCACATGTTATAGTTTAAAGTTTATCACTCAATTAAGATTTACAATCATCCATTTATAAAAGTGCTATGTTTTTATTTTATCGCAGTATAAAAAAGTAACATCTTACAATTCAGCCAAAATAATGTTTATTATCTATCTAGCAGTCACAAAGGTCATCGTGTCTTAGGTTTAGTAGATTTGAACAAAGCCATTGCAAGGTTAACATTCAAGAAATGATAATATTATTGGTATTTTGTTGAGGTTTTGGTTCAATAACATATAGATGAATAGTCCCAATTTCGTGAATTTTCCATGACATAGATTAATAAATCCAGATTTTCTGGCTGGAACTATTTTTCGGAACTTGCACAACTTTCCAGACCTTGTCAAACTATTTAGTACACTTACAGTATTCATACAGTTCTACTGTAATCGTGCTCTTTTCATATTGTCATATTTTAGGGCTATTCTGTTTAGAATTACCTGGGTGGGTAGGAACTCCACTTATACACCCTTCAGATCAACACAGTATCTATTTGTTACTTCCTTCAAATTGTATGTGAAGGATTGCTCAATAGAATCCAGTTTTTTAAGACCACCAGATCATTTTAAAGCGTGGTGTTGGCCATCACCCAGGTAACTTTAATAATTGGAATAACTCTTATCTTAAGAACATGGAGTTCTTTATAATTTAATTCAGCCCGGTTCTATGGATTTGAGATCTAATTTATTAGCTTTAAATTAATAAATTATGTAGATGTTAAAATTATTTGCCAAACTAAAGCTTAGCTTAGCCAGGGTTCTGAGGTCTTCGTTGTCATAAAATTGAGCTAAAATAATGTTTTTGTATGATGTAAATGTATATGTATTGAGATTTTTTTTCTATTAGTTTTATAAAATGTACATGTATTGACATTGAGAACCTTTTTTTATATCGGTTTCATAAACAATTATCTATACAAATCAAAATCATATAATTACTAATCTGGCAGTCGCTATCCATGGTATCCCCAGTGGTCTCATTCCGTTCCACTCCACTAAACCCTGGGTTCATCCATGGGGTATTCACATATTCAAATTACCTGCCCTTGATCGTAGCTTGATTCTACGAACCAATCAAAAAACAGTGTACAAACCAGTCTTAGCCTCATTGCTTACATTCAATCAATATGGCAGCCTTTTATACCCCCACATTGAAATTTGGTTGTTTATTGTCGTGGCCCCCATCTGTCCGGCGTCCACAAATTCTTGTGGATGCTCTAGAGGCCAAAGTTAATATCTGATTGACTATACATTTATACACAGTGTTTAAGGTCATGAGACGAAGAAGCTTATTGATTTTCAACTATTTCCGATAATTACTGTCAGAGGTATGGCCCTTGATCACTTTGAAAAATTGTGTGGATGCTCTAGAGGCTAAAGTTATACACAGTGTTGAAAGGTCATGAGACAAAGAAACCTATTGTTCAACGATTTCTCATGATTACTGCCAGTGTTATAGCCCTTGATCACTTTGATAAATCTTGTGGACATCAGACGAAGCCTATTGATTTTCAACGATTTCCGATAATTAATGCCAGAGTTATGGCCCTTGATCACTTTGAAAAATCTTGTGGATGCTTTAATTAGAGACCATAGTTATCATCTGATTGATTTTATATTTATACACCATGTTTACGCCTGCATATAATCGTTTTGATCGACTTTAGATTGATACACAGAGTTTAAGGTCCTGAGACGAACAAGTATATTGATTTTCAATGATTTTTGATAACTTGAACAGCTAAATCCATGATATTAAACGTTTTGTATACTAAACGTTAGTATTGGTCAAACAAATTCTAATGATTTTTTGATAATTACTTAATGAGACGTTACTCTTAATCAGTATAAATGTTTCATTATTGACAAAAGTAAAACTATGCGACAACTCTTGTTGACTGCCTGGACGATTTAGCTGCTGTGGGCGTATGTTTCGTTGCCTGGCAACAAGACAAGAGTTACTCCCTTTCGCCAACTTCCTTTGTATTCAACAATTTTTTCGATTTGTCTATAAAAATAGCACAGTCATCAAGGGCATTTAATTTGAATACATGTCTCCCATGGATGAACCCAGGGGTTTGTGGAGTGGAACGGAATGAGACCACTGGGGATTCCGAGGATGGCAGTTTGACATGTGTACAAACAAGTCTAATGTTATGTCTTGAACATGAATAACTTTAAGAGATATTGTGACGCTTATTTGGAATACAGTTATGAGATTTATGTAAACGATTTTTCTTCACTTGCATAATTGCAACATAAAACTGAATACAAAACAGTTAAAGCGGCATTAGGTAAGATTAGATAAAGCGTTGACAGTTCTTGCCATAATAGTTAATAAAAAGGGAATATATTGAAAATTTCAGTCAAATTACTTCACTCTGAGCCTAGCTATCCGTGATACAACTATAGTCTAGCCTTGATTGTCATTGCTATCGTTGTTACAATAATAAACAAAGTCTCGATTATCCATTTTTACGGTAACCGCATCAACCACGAGATGCATTTAATATTGAAGAAATCCGATGGCATTGAGAGTTGATTATGGTCTTGGTATGTTATTTATGTCTAATTAATAATTTATATAGCAGACCTGAATTGGGCAGATTTAGCTCTTGCATAATGCCCGTTTAATTTAGTTGAGTAAAAAAGATATTGGGAAGCTATATTCCTGTAACATGGTACAAATTGGGTATTTGTGTTTAGAAATAAAATATGGATTATGTTGTCTTTCATTATAAATGTATCATCAAAGGAGGGAGAAATATGAGACTTGTGATTTATGGAGGCTTGATGTCCTATATGGTATTTTTCAATAATTAATGAAATACCGATATTAAAAAATATACTATGTAAATTGATCTATTATGATGACTATTGAAAGCTGCTGATCATTGTATTTTTCGGACAATATCTGATTTTTTACAGCTTAATCAATGCTAAAATTACTCAGATTTATCACTTGACATTTACATGTAGTTAAAAACAATATCAAAATATCAATGGCAGATAATCTCCTGGCTTAGATTCAGTTGGATTAAGAAGAGGCCCATCAAAAGAATATAACAAGGATTAAAAGTTGACTCTGAATTGTTATATGTGTTATAAACCAAACAGCCTAAATCAAAACAGCCCAAAGATTTGGTCAAGAGAGCCACAGCTTTTAGTAAAAATGATCAGAGATTGATCACTACGGTCCTAAAAAAATACAACCAATTAAATTGGTGTTATTATGGATCCAGTGATACATATTTACATGAATTATTTTGAACAAAGTGAATTTTGTAACTTTTGGTTTACGATGATCAGCAGCTTTATGATTAATTTTTAGAATGTAAATATTGATGTATAAATATTATTGGTATATAACCAACTACCTACTGCTTTCATTTTTTGTATTTGCCTATTATACTGTTAATGTTTGTAAATTTATTCATTTTGATAACCGACATGCATGCATATTCAATTTTTTTTATTTTCTTTTATGAAAAACAAGATTATGGTCCTCTTCCTTTGGCATCCTTACATAAACGGACAATTATTATATCATTATTTTTTGATTAATTTCCAGACTAGTAAAGACCAGATTATGCAATCGATATGGGGTCAAAGTTCAATCACAACTTCATGTGTAATAGATTTTTGTTGGCATAATTCTTTTATTTTGAATTCACAATGTAAGAATCATAATCTTCATACATAAGCAAATCAAGAAGCAAAGTCTGGTTCCCCCTAACAAATAATACCCATATACATGTATTTAATTGTTTACTACAGAATTAATGACTTGGGTAACTTTGAAATGACTCGTCTAATAGATGACTTCAAAAATATTAACTATATTTATCAGGATAATGTTAAATGACAATATGTCAGCCATTATGTGATAGAACTGGTTAAACACATTCCAAATATACTTTTAGCACAGAGATCACTGCTATGGTAGATATGTAACGAACATTTGAAGAAACAGGAAGTGACGCAAAAAAAATGACAATTAAAAAAAAGAATTGCTGGTCACTGGATAAGAGGAAATAAAAAAAATAGAAAAGACCCATGCATTCCCTTGTTTTTATTCATTCTGTACTTAAAATAAACATGGTACTGCACAGACTTTTCTAATTTGTTCGTTTTCTCTATCAAGTGAGTCAAATTTTTTTGACTTGTCAGATATCCTCTAGTCATAGTCTTGCATATCAACTTTTCGTCTTCAACGGAATTATCAGTGACATGAAATTCGACCATGTGTCTGTTATTGCTCGTTGCTTCAGTCAATCATATAGAAGGATAACTAATGTTTGTCATTTTTTGCGTCACTTCCCGTTTTTTCAAATGTTCGTTGCGCATTTACTGTAGCAGTGATCTCTATATTTGGAATGTGTTTAACCAGTTCTATCACATATGTAATAATGGTTGACACCAATATTGTCCTTTAACCTTTGTTTATTGTTGTACACATATACCTAGTCAGGATAAATCATATTTGTATCTCTTTGGCATGAGAATATGTAAATACAGGTATTCTATGATATTGTTAATGGGCCTGTGTGCAATTCTTTTCAGACAAGAAAAGTATTTAGTTAATTTCATCATTATTTGTGACAAGATCCTGTAAATAACTACTTTTAGTTTTTTTGTTTCTTTTATCTTCCATGAATATTTATTTTCTTAATAGATTTATTGAAGACTTTAGTTTTATAACAATGTATAATTTTATCAGTTTCATCAATTTAATAATGAATAGATGATTGTTAAAATATTTTATCTTAAGTTGATAAAGAGAATCATGACAAACTACATATTTGTATTTAACTGCACAAAATCCTTACAAAAATATTCAGCTTGGTCATTCATATAGAATGCACAAGTGTTGCTGGTAATGCTCATTATATTAATGTAGTCTATTCTGCTCATTGGTATTAATCACATATACCACGCATAAATCAGAGAAAATTGTTTTATTTATGACAGTAGAACTGTATTATTAATAATTGTTATTGCAAGTTGCTGTCATGCATTCTTATAAAGAAATAAACCAAATTGGAAATTGAAAGTTTTCAATGCTAGTTCCTTTTGTACGGTTGCATCTTAAAAATGGGACTCTCTACCAGATGAACTTTGATTCATTCATTCAAATCTGGTCAAAACACATATGTTTGAACCCTATTATTAAATATTAGCATAAACTCTAATGTACAAACCCTTGTAAGTTTGGCACTTTGAACATGCTTTGTAGAATCTAGCACATTCCAAATGGACATTTATTATTATGAGTACATTGTTGTAGGCTACTTCATGTCAAAGGCTTTTTACTGGTAGTTTATATGGTTAATTTGATAATAAATTTGAAGCAACACTAAAGAATGTAAATAATTGATCAATATTAATAAAATTACAGTCGTCATTTATTTTGTTGCTGTGATATTAATGTATACTTGATAATTTTTTCATTGATATTGAGTGATGTAATTGATAATACTCGATTAAGAAATGTAGAAGAGAACAAAATGACATCAGAAATATTTATGTATTTTGTTTTATTTTCCTTGAAAATATCAGTCTCTCTCTACACAATATATCAGGGCTTGTGTTTTTACCATTTTTTGGCAATCACGAATGATCAGTATTGAAATTGAGTTAGTTTACATGCCACAAGAATCTAACAGCAGGCAGGCTTCTCAAATATATTCAATTTCAAACAATCACTGGTTGATATTTCTTTCATCTACATCTTGTATATGAAAATCATTGCATGTTAAATCATTTTTCTTTATGTGTCAGATAAGTTCACTATATTGTATTGTCACTTTCCATGAAATTTAAAAACGTGAGAATGCACAAAACATTTATGTCACATCACATTTCTCCACATTGTGAAATAGTCACCGGTATTTTAGGTTTGTTATTAGGCCCTGTTGGAACATTTTCTATTTTTCTTAACACAAGATGTCCATCTATAATTTTTCCTGAAAAATAAAAAGGAATGTAATAATATCTTGACTAAGTACCAATGCCTGTTACTCCTGAAATGAGAGCTCTTAGGCATATAGTGGTTTTACATGGCGGACTGTTTCATCAATTCAAACCAATTGGGATGCCTGATACTATTTGCAATACATCTTATAACTAGTATTGGGTGCGTGTTGAATCAAAAGTTGTGTCATGTCATTGAGTCAAGTGGCGTGGTTTTGATTCACAAGGAGTAGGGTCGCCTTTCCAACCTTCCATCGGATTCCTCCCACTGCTAAAGCCTACACGCAAGCGAAATAATTAAATAAAATTTAACCATGTTAGTTCTGAAATGACCTAGTTTGTGTCGAGTGGACGCTAAACTCCATTTTTCTCCCCCTCTCTGTAACTAGTACTGGTTGTTGTTTACCAATAACACAAAGATTATTTAATAATAATAATAATAATGTACATTTATATAGCGCTTAATCCATCCATGAGCATGCTCTAAGCGCTGTAAGTTAATAGCTCCTGTGGAAAATACATCGTGAACATATACATCTTAAGTCTAGATCGAAATTGAGCAACTGTTTCTGAACACTTTATTTTGTCAGGTAAGTCATTCCATAGTCGTGGACCATATACACTGAAGGCTTTATCACCAAAAGATTTTAATTTAGTTGAAGGTACAACAAGTGATAGATTATTCGGTGAACGGAGTGGTCGGTTTGGTACATAAGTCTGCATAAGATCTGTGATATAGGATGGAGCTGAATCACCTGTATCTTCCAAAACATGCCCAAGGGAATGGATGTTGATGACTGGTGTGATTTATACAGGAACCATAATATATCGGAACATTTTTCATTGATTTGTTTACTACCCTTGATAAATATAGAAACTTCTTTGCCGAAGATTGGCCAATCCGCGATCAAGAGCAGATAACTAGCCATGTAGAATGTGGTTATATTGTAATATTAATAATCAATCAGTCATACTTACCAAATACTACATGTTTATTATCAAGGAAATCACATTTAGCACAAGTAATAAAAAACTGACATCCATTTGTGTCTTTTCCACTGTTAGCCTGTTAATAAAATAATGGCACAAAATCAACAATTATTGTGTATGTAGACATTCCTTATCTAGTAAGCTTATTAAAGAAAATCACCAGTCACTCAACATAGTTTCATTTCATGCCAAGATAAAATTTAAAGAATAATACTTTTATATTTTCTAACTAATTCTTACCTGTCAAATAAAATTAATGTTGTCTTTGACTAATCATGTGCGAATAGAATTTATACGTAGTCTTACTTACACTGCAGTGCGTTTTAACCAAAACGTGAGACATAAACATTTGTCCTTACCATACTCAAAATACCTGGACCAGTATGTTTTATTTTAAAATTTTCATCTGCAAAGGGTCCTCCATATATACTAGTCATACCAGTTCCATCACCCTAAAAATACAAATTTATAGTAAAAGATATAATAACAAGCCAACAGTGAGGCTGATGTCCCCTGCCGAAATTCCAAAATAAATAGACGACACATTAATTGCACATTTATTTTTATCAAAAGTATCGAGCAATTAAACTAAACACTAAGTTTCATCACTCTCTTATCAGATAGAATCAAGATTATCTTGTCCCAAAGCATCGACCAATGAAATTGATTAGCTCTGCTTAGCTTCAGTTTGAAATGTTAATCATTGAACTCAGTCAAGACATTCCCCTAATGAACATCTACATCAAGTTTAAACATTCTACCTCAATTAAAAGCAGAGTTTTTATGTTCCAAAGTCTTGACCAATCAAATTGCTTATCGCTCCTGAGCCTAAGCAGAAAATTCTCACCATCGCACTTAGTCTACATATATTCGGAGTTTCATCGCTCTCACTTCATTATAACCAAAGTTATCGTGCCCCAAAGCATCAACCAATCAGATTGCTTATCTCTGCTTACCGTAAGCAGACAATGTTCATCATCGAACTCCATCAAGGCACAAGGCATTCACCTAATGAACACCTACACCAAGTTTGAACATTCTACCTCAATTAGAGGGAGAATTATTGTGTTCTAAAGTTACGAACAATCAAATAGCTTATCGCTCTGCTTACCCTGAGCAGAAAATGCTCATTATCGAACTTAGTCAAGGTATTAATGTGATAAAACTATACACCAAGTGTCCCCACTCTCACCTAATTAGAACTAAAGTTATTATGTCCTAAAGCATCGACCAATGAAATTGCTTATTTATGCTTTTCCTAAGCATAAAATGCTCATCTTCAAACTCCATCAAGGCATTGACCTAATTAACACCTACGCCAAGTTTGAATTTTCTACTTCTAGTCCAATTAAAAGGAGAGTTATTGAGTTCCAAAGTCTTGGCAAATCAAATTGCTTATCGCTCTGCTAACACTGAGCAGAAAATGCTCATTATCGAACTTAGTCAAGGTCCTGATGTAATGGAACTACACACCAAGTTTCATCACTCTCACTTAATTAGAACTAAAGTTATTGTGTCTAAAATTCAATATGATTCTTCGTTTCACTAATCTAAATAATGCATACAAATTTCACAAAGATCGGATGATAACTTTTGGCATTAGAGCGTTCACAAGGTCCAACAAAGTGAAACAAGCGCCATAACTCTAGAGACGTAATAAACGGAAATTATTGAAATTAAATATTCTTATTCATCTCACTAATGTCATCAACATACATCAATTTTAAAACAATCGGATCATAACTTTTGGCGTTAGAGCGGACGGACGGGGGCGACGGCAAAATCCGTCCACATTTCCATGTGGGCGTATAAAAAGGGCCACAACTCTAGGCTTAATTAACGTAAATTGCTGAAATTCAATAGGCTTCTTTGTTTCACTAATTTAAATGATGCATATAAATTCCATACAGATCGGATGATAACTTTTGTCATTAGAGCGTTCACAAGGTTCAACAAAGTGAAACAAGAACCATAACTCCAAACGAAATTATTGGAAATTATTGAAATTAAATAGGCTCCTTCATCTCACTAATGTAAACAAAATATTTCAAAACAATCAGACGATAAATGTAGCCTGTAGAGTGTTCACAAAAAATTAAACAGACTGGCGTACGTATGGACAGGGGCGACGACAATATATGACCACGTTTCCATGTGGGCATATAAAAATGAAATGACAAGGGGTTTAACGTTCTACTGTTCTAATGATGATGGGTATAAGCCATATATCGAATTCTAACTGCCAAAAGACCTTTTCCGTGCCACAAATGTGGACACAGGACTTTCAGGGACTGGCAGATTTCATAGATGTGCAGTCAATCAGGACATCAAGTGAAGGAATTTTATGACAATGTGCAACATTATGATGTATCATAAGTAAGATTACAATACCTTAACAAAATCACCACCTTGTACCATGAAATCTTTTATAACTCTGAAATAAGCAAATTAAAGATGAAATGAAGAAGGGCATACCCCATACAGTGTGATATGAAGGAAATTTTGCACAGACTATGGCGCTACGGCCTACTCTTATATCCAATTCCAACATGAGTTCTTTTACCTGCACCCCAATGTGTACACAAGATCTTGCATTTTTGTCCCATCCAAATGACTGGACTGCTGTCCTTGTAAGACCCTGCACCACTGACATGGGAAACCATGCTAGCAAATCCAGAGGAACTTTCTTGGTCAACACTGCGGGAGCGAACTCGAGACCTACTAGATACTAAGATAGTGAGTCAGGGACATACTCACTGACCACTAAGTCACTGCTGCTCCAATTAAATATGAGCTGTTAAGTCAGTTTGTGTTGTTGAGCAGAGAAAATTTACAAATGTTCAAATATGATCTAACTCAAACTTCTAATGTTATTTAAGTAAATAAATATTGGCCATAAATTTACTAGTACTATTACAACCAACATGCCAGGAAAACGTTTGCGAGCTTTATGCCATAAAACCATTTATTAAAAAAAAAAACGTTTTGGTCGAAAAATAGATAATTCTTACATAAGTTATTAACATTTTAAGTTTACATTGATTTACACTACCATTTTTTGTACAAGCCAGTCCATGCTACTTGGGTGTGCTTACTTACATAAAATATGATCAGCCTTTACATTAAAATAGTACTTTTAACCTTTGAGATATCTGGTATGTGAAATTTATATGAGATTTCTATTACATGTATGACCTTTAAAATGAATACTGTAAGTCAAGTCGAATAATTCAGAATCTGTTTTCTTATAGTGACTGATATTTTGTCCTTAGTCACGATATTGAATAAATAAATGTTTTTATGGCAGGACATGGATACTCTGTTAACATAGCACCCTGGAGCAGCTTATTAGCTGGAACACTCAGCGCTATAGAAATTGAATATTATTATTTATTATTATATACTGTCATGACAGAGTTTTTCAGTGCAATACAAGTTGTTTTACTTTGATATGCAGGAAATCTGTTAAATTAATAGAACAATTTATAATAAAAGGCAACAACATTTCTTGGCAATACTACTACCATCCATCCACTATAAGAATACTAACTGAATTCTAGAACCCTTTTCCTGGCTCTATCTTTGCAACAATTTGTTTGTGTGTCAATAAGACAAATCAGATGTATGTGATATTCACACATGATGACTGCATGTTACATTTGATATGTCTAACCAAAGATTGAATCCATATCGAATGGGATGCAGTTCTAGAGCAGTTACAGAGACTTACCTGTGAAATACAGCTCCTTTATACCCTATTGGTACCCCATCTCGTCTGTGTTCACCAGTGCAGAATTGTCTATAACAAACAATATCATAAAATGTTAGACATAATATATATATATATTAAAATATATAGAGGCATATTTTTTATCTACCAGTTAGGAATCCTAGCATGAATCCTAGAATAGAGCATGTACACCAAGGCATGAAATAGGAATTACATCCTACTTTTCTGCACTGATTGATTTATTGAAAGATAGGTATAACCCCAGGTGTTGTGCTATAGAAGAAATTTTGCGCACACAGCAGTGTTCTCACCTAACTCCTGGTTAACAAGCTTAGTTATAGCACCTTAGATTAATTACTGAGTCACCTTAATTTGTAGGGTGGCCACCCGTCCCACATTTCGCGGGACAGTCCCGGGTCCTGAAAAGCAGCCAAAATGTCCTGCAATTGCTCACATGCAAGATTTATATACAGTAATATGTGTTTAATCTAGTCTCGCGATGATTGTCTATTTGAGTGTAACATTAACTTTTTTCAAAAATTCGTACAAGCATTTTAGACTTAATATACAACTTATAATTTTGTTTCTCAAACATTCTGCAAATGCAACATGATTAGTAAGTTTATGTATGTGTCATAGCATTTGTAAGTATAAAGTACTGTACATAAAGGAAAATTCCTTCTTAAATATTTTATATTTACGTGTAAACTTACGACTTGCGTGTAGTTTTGAGAAACAGACTTGTTTTACAAATGACATGGCTTCTGATCTCTTAAATGTGGGCAAGAAATGGATGAAAACAGGACTTTATAATATAATGTTCATGATGAAAGTGATTAATCCTTCATTTAATGTGTTGTGCGCTACACCAGCAAATTGAATAAAATCATAGTTTCCTTGGTTCATTCCATGCCAGTTTGCAATGCTTATGTTGAGTGCATATTTTCACCGATGGAAAATTATTCGATGTATCATTTGCATATCTTTCAATGTCTGTTGTCTTTGCTTCATCATAAATCATAAACTCATTAAAGTTAAACTTTCTGGAGTTGTAATGCATTCTGGAGAAAATCACAAGTTATCACTACAAAATCAGAGTATTTTATTAGGCCTACCATATTTCGTGTCTCAGATTGCTGGGAATGGCGTTTCCGGGGTTCTAGTTTTCAAAATTACGGCGTTCGGGGTGAGCAGCTCTGTCGCCCACTGCTCCACAGAAAAAAGCAACATACATGTAGCCTATAGGCCCTATTCTTCTGAAATTTCCCGCAATATGATCAAGCAAAGGTGGTCACTCTATTAATTAGGGTTATCCCAACCATCGGATAAAGGGACCAGCTGCTTGAGAACTATACTTGAAATGAAATCTACCTTTCGAAAATTAATGCTTGGAGTAAACTATAAATGAAATAAATGATTAGTTTCCACTCAGAATGAGTATGACAGGTCAGGTGTGCAGTTTAAATTTAAAATGAAAATTTTGATCACCTGAAATTCTCTGCAGACTTTGCTACTGTGTCTGCAAATAATTCAAATTTCATACGCCCAGCTTCCTGAAATAGATTTTAAATGTAAACTTATATTATTATATAGGCCTACTTGAAATTAAGTTATTATTAAATTTCATGTCACAATGTCTGGAGTTACTCCCCTTTAATCTCAAGATAAACGTTTTCTTTTGGCATTACGATCACTGCATTAAGACAGCAGGCGTATTCTCAGATAAACATCATTCCGTGGAATTGAATTTATTTCACAGTGTCTGTAATACAATTAAATTGAAAACGAAAATATCATTTCAGAAATGCTTTGTGAAGTTTGATAATAATGAATGCTCCCTTGTGCCGGCGCTAGATATGTTCATTTGATTTGCTTCTTGAAACATACTTTCCATTTAAATTACTTCTTTTAATACTTAAAACAATAAAGATGAGATAATTACCACAGTTCCAATCTTTATATCAAAGAAAACTATCGGGTTATTTGGATTGGATGGCTTTTCCGAAAACGACATGATAACGTATGACAAAAATAAACAGCAAGACTGCAATATATCCGGTTGGTTGAAAAGACAAAGGGACCGTTCATTACACACACAGTTTTTAACCAGCAGTTCTAAACTTTAAAAAAAACCCCAAAACAACCAAAAAAAAATAAAAAAATAAAAAAAAAATAAATCTCTATTTATTTGCAAAATTAACAATGATTTGTAATAATAATTCGAGAATGTAGTCTAGGAATAGGCCCCATTGGAATACAAAGTTTTGTAAAATCTATAATAAATTATTTACAATGATTTTAGTCACATTGTAGATTTTACAGAACTTTGTATTCAATTTCAAATGGGGCCGGTTTTTAAAATCGGAAAAAAAAAATTGTGACATCTAGAGAATCCACAAGCGAAAAATGCGATTTTTCGACCAATCAAGGGCCACAATCCAGGAAATTACGTTAGGATACGTGTGATTATCAACACGAACCGAGATCTTTATGATAAAAACATATATGTAAAGTTTCATCCAAATCGGATAAAAACTGTGGCCTCTAGAGGTTCCATAACCTTGATATACCATATTTTTACACTATTTGCGTACAATTTTTGTCCGATTTTCACGAAATTCGAACTCAACCACCATTAGCGTATAACTGTGATATATTCACACGTTTTTTTTTTTTAAATCTGATAAAATTGTGACCTCTATAGGGACAACAAGCTCATTACGCGATTTTTCGTGCAATTATAGGGAGTTACGATCCGATATGCGCAAATATCTAAAGGAACCAAGATCTTTGGGTTATAAACATACATTTCAAGGGGCGACGACAATATACGTCGACATGAAAATGTGAGCGTATAAAAATCTACAGTAGCCTATTCTACAGAATTTGATATCTACAGATTTATGGAACACTTTTCCTATGGAGAAAATACGGTATACCGGTAGTATTCTATAGATATCAACTGAATTTTCTGTTGAAAGGATTACTGTAGTAGGTCTTTAGGTATAGTTTTGGCCCACTACAGTTTTCTGTAGGGGTATACTAGTTTTCAATAGAATAACACAGAACTTTGTAGGAATAGGATTACACATCTATATGGTGATCTATCGTTATCATTCGTGAATTTAACGAAATTTCTTTAAAAACCTAATTAAAACGAAATAAAAATGAATAAGTATTTTGTTTCTATTTTACTTTTGATTTTGACCCTGTGTTTCTACGCCCACATGGAAATGTGGTCGTATATTGCCGTCGCCCTCGTTTACATCAGTGAGATAAAGAAGCCTATTTAATTTCGGTTAATTACATCTAGAGTTTAAAATCTAGAGTTATGGCCTTCGGTTCACTGTTGAACCTTGTGAACTCATTTAAATTAGTGAAAATAAGAATCCTATTGAATTTCATCAATTTCCGCCAATTACACACATCATTTAAATTAGTGAAACGAAGAGGTCTATTGAATTTCATCAATATCCGCCAATTACTTCCAGAGATAAGAGCCTTGTTTTAGTTTGTAGAACCTTGTGAACCCTAAAACGACGAAAATTATAATCTGATCTGTATGAAATTGTCTTGTAAATGCCCCCAATTACCTATAAAAGAATAGATATGCCACAACCCTTGTTGACTCCCCGGACGTTTTACATGCCGTAGGCGTATGCTTCGTTGCCTGAAAGCCTATCTTTCATTTTCATTTCCTTTTATTTAGTTTTTTAATTTTTTTGTTAAGTTCCTGAATGATAAGGATAGGTCACCATACACACATGACTTGACAATGACAACCATTTTATAGCACCACTAGTTGTTTTTCTATAGTTTCTTAACCACACTTATTTTATTTATTTCATTTATTCTCTAAACGCATACTTATAAAGTGTTTAAAACCATTTAATAACTGCTCGGGAACTTCGTACCCGGTTGGTGAAATGACCCCCTTCCCCCTTGAGATATACTGTAGATTTATAACACTATGCTCACCCTACATTCATATTACCAGACCACCACTAAATTTCACCAATTGTAGTTCGTCTATTTATAGTAATTCTCTCTCTGTCTCTTTTCTCCCCTTTTGGATGCCCATTTTTGTTGATTTTTTGGTCTAGAATTAACATTTTCTGACAGGTTTTGGTGAATATACATCATTTTGAGGCGGAAGGATAACAGAGTTATCAGGTTGGTTAAGGTGATATGTACGGCAACTAGTTACATGTTTTTAGTATGCTTCTTCAAGTTTGTGTATCTCAAAATTTTGGTGATCAACCTCATACAAATTTAGTGCAAAGACATGACCATTTGTTCCTCTGTCTGTAGAGAAAAGCATTCAGCCCAACGAAAATTTGGGGAAAAGGTTGGAGGTGGGCAAAGAGGCCAGAATTAACATTGAAGTCAATGGGGAAATTAATGGTGGTCTGCATCCACATATATATACATCTAAATGGAGTTATGTCCCTTACATGCAAAATCTGGACATCTATCCACCTTTCCGACAAAGATCTTGGAAAGTGTATGAGGTTACTTAATGAACCAGTTAGTCCATGGAGTTGGGAACTTTGTGTCTGATAAACAGATAAATTCTGACAAGAAAAAAAGCTCGCGTGATAATGTTCTCGTGTATTCTGTTACTTAATATTTACCCCGAGTTTATCTTTCCTCAGCACTGGAGCTCTGACGCCGATCTCTATGTGCTCAAGCGAACCACTCACTATTTTGACCGGATTACAGAAAAAGATTGCCTTTGTACATTAAATGTACATAACCCCCCTTTTCTTAAATAGAAAGTAGATTGCAGACCATAAACATTTCAAACTTTCTCCCTACATCTCCTTTGTTTAGTGATTTGGACTGAAGTAAGACAAGTTAGACTTATCACGAAATGATATCTGCGTAGGCCTATAAACTTTACTGGGAAATAATAAAATGAAATGAAATATAATGGGGTTTAACTTCCTACTTTTTTGCGCGCATATGTGATAACCATAAATGACTGATCAATGCATCACATTTTCAACTAACAAGAGTAGAACCGCTGAGTGGTTTAACGCGTTGAGTCTGTCACTTAATCAGATTTTGTGGATGCGACCCTATGCTTGTATGTGACGGTTGTCTGTATCCAGTGCAACACCCCCACTCCCGATTAAGTGCTACGTGCAGACGTATTAATGAATAAAGATTTATCATATTAATGCAGAAATAACCCAGCTTGTGTTTAGCGGACGTATTTTCTACTTATTTTCTTCCGGTCAAATTTGAAATCGAAACGCCGATGCTACACATTATGAATATTATGGTTATGGATAATGCTGAATTACAAAAATGACGAATTCGAAGACGAAACATCTTGTAAACAAGCGGTTGCCATGCAAGATACGCTTACATTTTGCAAGAGGGACAGAAACAAGCTACAACCCCCCCCCCAAAAAAAAAAACAACAAAAAAACAAAACAAACAAACCAGCGACTTTCGTACAATCATGGGCCATAATCCACGAATCTACGGTATGATATGCGCGAATATTGTGGGCGTATACAAAGAGGTCAGATTCGGAAGAAGACCTGCCAAACATGTTATGTAATTCAAAGTAAGATGTCTAGAATAAAAAAAAAATGAAATTAAATGAAATAGGATCTTACGTCCTACTAGTTTGCACCAATCGGACAAATGGAGACGGGCACAGGTCTTGCAGTATGCCATGAAAATGTTGCCTGGATAGCGGCGTTTCCGCTTATTCTTCTAATTCTAACTGCCAAGGGATCGAATCCGGGAACTTCTGTTTAGTGATCCAGCGCCTTACTCACCAAGTGAGAGAGCTCTAACCCAGAATAGAACTAAAACAGAAGTTTCTTTAGTGCTGTGGTGGGATTTACCACACAGATCTGGTCGAAAATAAGTATTTGGTTGATTTTTTTTATTACTGACATAGAGAAAACATCTGTTGCTTATTGTTAGTACATTTTATCTGACTTGAATCGTCATTTCAATTCAATAAGTGACGTGTTTTAGATGTCAATCATTATGGACAAATACCGACGAGGATCTGGTTTCTGCCCACTTGGTACAATCTGTGACGATGAACTGAGAGAGAGAGAGAGAGAGAGAGAGAGAGAGAGTTTAACGTCCACTCGACACAAACCATGTAATTTGGGGACTAACATATGGTTCAATTTTATTTCTATAATTCGCTTGTGCGTAGGGGTCTTTAGCAGTGGGAGGAAACCGGAGGACCCGGAGAAAACCCACGAGGTTAGACAAGCAACCCTACTCCTTGTCACGTACAACCAGGGAATCGAAACCACGCCAGTTGACTCAATGACAGACCTTATGATGTGACGATGAACCAAGAGAGTCTCATTAGAAAACAAAGAATATGTCCCACGCCTCAACGCCCATCCCACTAACAAGTTTCCCTAATTGACACCGAATTGAAGACAATCTTTTGAAGAGAATATGACATTTGAGCTGACCTATTTGTAGCCCCTTCCGCAAATATTTCCAAAATGTTAACTCACACAGTAAATCTTGAATCAACGGCTTCTGGGGAATACATTTCAAAGTAATTACAAAGTTATTTACGTAACGCACGAACACGCTTTCTATCAAAGGCAGCTAACAAAATTTTACAGGCGGCTTGAAATGGGAGTCAAAGCAACCCTGTTTACCGTTCTCTTGATTATCTAGGTTCTGACAGCTTGAGAGCCTACCAGGAATCAATGGAGCTTATTTAGGAAATCTTATTGGAATTAATGTCATTTGTGACCAGACAAAACGGAAATGATATGGAAAGGAATAGGGAAGAAAGTGTTTTTTAATCTTCCTTTTTTCTTTTAATCTGGTACATGTATACATTTTATTTCTGATAACAAAATCGCGGATTTAACCTACGAAAACGGAGGGGTCAATCGACTTTAGAATTATGGTATCTGAAATCTGGAAGAGCTTTAATTTCTATCGTTTACTTTAGTTTGATATTCTGAATCGAAATCCTATATGTTGGTTAGTCACGCAACACGATTCCATCGTCCTCTTCTTGTGTGACTTTACACTAACTTCCATCTAAACTGATATCACGGACACACGTGTATTAAAACAC